ATGCGCTGCTTGGGATCAAGTCCCTGGTACACCTTGGTCACATCAGTGTGCTCCTGGCTCAAACTGGCCAAGTCCCAATTTTAATTGGTGCCAGCTGCCTTGGTGCTTCGTTGACAAGCGGTGTGCTTCAAGGATTCCAAGTGTGGTTTTTAATGGTTCTATGGCTTACTACAGCTATGACGCCTGTGGCAATGCCCCTGACTGCTACAACAACTTCGAAAGTGAACCTCGCTGCCCATATGATCCCAGCGGCAGCGGTACTTTCATGGTGCACAAGGGTAGCTGTGAATGCTTGTTTCAGGGCCTTGAACTGCCGGTGTCTGTCTACACGAACTATCCACTAGAACAGCCTGGTAGATATGCCAACCTGACCTACATACGGATCTTTGGTACTACCTGTGCTGCATGGGATCAGGTACCAGGCACCCCCTGGGCACAGTATTGCCCGCCAACTGCAGACTGGTGCCATTCAAACTACAATTTTTGTCAGTTGCCTTGGTGCTTTGTTGGAGACAGTTGTGAGAGTAAGCTGATGGCACATGAATTTTCTGGGTCACAAGCAGCATACTACAGCTATGACACGTGTCTCTCGACACCAGACTGTAAAACCATGCCTTTTGATGATGCTTGTCCCTTTGACTCTGCAGACACGGGGTGGGCCACTGCGCAAGAATGTCCAGAGAGTTGGTCTGATGTTTGTGACTGTCTCTATCAAGGGAACTTCTTGCCACCGGAGCTGTACACTCAATTTCCTGAAGATGAGCCGGGCAAGTATTCCATGGTTCCAAATATTGCCATCTATGGCACCGCATGCGCTGCTTGGGATCAAGTCCCTGGTACACCTTGGTCACATCAGTGTGCTCCTGGCTCAAACTGGTCAAGTCCCAATTTTAACTGGTGCCAGTTGCCTTGGTGCTTCGTTGACAAGCGGTGCGCTTCAAGGATTCCAAGTGTGGTTTTTAATGGTTCTATGGCTTACTACAGCTATGACACCTGTGGTAACACTCCAGACTGCTACAATGACTTTTCCAGTGACAAGCGCTGTCCCTATGACCCCTATGGAACCAAGAGCTACAAGGTACACAAGGGACATAACTGCGAGTGCATTTATCAAGGACGGGAACTGCCTTCAAGTTGGTTTAATTGGAATGACACCGATGTTTCGGATACCTTTGGTGAAAACTTTATTGGTGTTTATGGAACCACGTGTGCTGCATGGGCCCAGATGCCTGGAATGCCCGATGCACACTTATGTCCCGCGCATGCCGACTGGTGTAATAGTCACAACAACTGGTGCCAGCTGCCTTGGTGCTACGTCGATCAGTCTTGTGAAACAAAGGTCACCAGCAGGATGATAGAAGGTTCTTTAGCCCCAGCATACTACAGCTACGACACGTGTCTCTCGACGCCAGACTGTAAAACCATGCCTTTTGATGATGCTTGTCCCTTTGACTCTGCAGACACTGGGTGGGCCACTGCGCAAGAATGTCCGGAGAGTTGGTCTGATGTTTGTGACTGTCTCTATCAAGGGAACTTCTTGCCACCGGAGCTGTACACTCAATTTCCTGAAGATGAGCCGGGCAAGTATTCCATGGTTCCAAATATTGCCATCTATGGCACCGCATGCGCTGCTTGGGATCAAGTCCCTGGTACACCTTGGTCACATCAGTGTGCTCCTGGCTCAAACTGGTCAAGTCCCAATTTTAATTGGTGCCAGTTGCCTTGGTGCTTCGTTGACAAGCGGTGCGCTTCAAGGATTCCAAGTGTGGTTTTTAATGGTTCTATGGCTTACTACAGCTATGACACCTGTGGTAACACTCCAGACTGCTACAATGACTTTTCCAGTGACAAGCGCTGTCCCTATGACCCCTATGGAACCAAGAGCTACAAGGTACACAAGGGACACAACTGCGAGTGTATTTTGCATGGGTCGCATTTGCCTGCAGATGTGTATACCCTTTACCCACTGGGAGAGCCTGGCAAGTATGCAAACTTGACACACATCAGCGTTTATGGCACCACATGCGCTGCATGGGACCAAATGCCTAGCACCCCATGGGCTCCCTACTGTCCGCGAGATGCAGACTGGTGTCGCAGCGAATTCAATTTTTGCCAGCTGCCTTTTTGCTATGTGACTGAGGCATGTGACAGCAGGGTGCCAAGCAGCTTATTTCAAGGTTCCTCGACTGCGGCATACTACAGCTACGACACGTGTCTCTCGACACCAGACTGTAAAACCATGCCTTTTGATGATGCTTGTCCCTTTGACTCTGTAGACACTGGGTGGGCCACTGCGCAAGAATGTCCAGAGAGTTGGTCTGATGTTTGTGACTGTCTTTATCAAGGGAACTTCTTGCCACCGGAGCTGTACACTCAATTTCCTGAAGATGAGCCGGGCAAGTATTCCATGGTTCCAAATATTGCCATCTATGGCACCGCATGCGCTGCTTGGGATCAAGTCCCTGGTACACCTTGGTCACATCAGTGTGCTCCTGGCTCAAACTGGTCAAGTCCCAATTTTAACTGGTGCCAGTTGCCTTGGTGCTTCGTTGACAAGCGGTGCGCTTCAAGGATTCCAAGTGTGGTTTTTAATGGTTCTATGGCTTACTACAGCTATGACACCTGTGGTAACACTCCAGACTGCTACAATGACTTTTCCAGTGACAAGCGCTGTCCCTATGACCCCTATGGAACCAAGAGCTACAAGGTACACAAGGGACATAACTGCGAGTGTATTTTGCATGGGTCGCATTTGCCTGCAGATGTGTATACCCTTTACCCACTGGGAGAGCCTGGCAAGTATGCAAACTTGACACACATCAGCGTTTATGGCACCACATGCGCTGCATGGGACCAAATGCCTAGCACCCCATGGGCTCCCTACTGTCCGCGAGATGCAGACTGGTGTCGCAGCGAATTCAATTTTTGCCAGCTGCCTTTTTGCTATGTGACTGAGGCATGTGACAGCAGGGTGCCAAGCAGCTTATTTCAAGGTTCCTCGACTGCGGCATACTACAGCTACGACACTTGTCTCTCGACACCAGACTGTAAAACCATGCCTTTTGATGATGCTTGTCCCTTTGACTCTGCAGACACTGGGTGGGCCACTGCGCAAGAATGTCCAGAGAGTTGGTCTGATGTTTGTGACTGTCTCTATCAAGGGAACTTCTTGCCACCGGAGCTGTACACTCAATTTCCTGAAGATGAGCCGGGCAAGTATTCCATGGTTCCAAATATTGCCATCTATGGCACCGCATGCGCTGCTTGGGATCAAGTCCCTGGTACACCTTGGTCACATCAGTGTGCTCCTGGCTCAAACTGGTCAAGTCCCAATTTTAATTGGTGCCAGTTGCCTTGGTGCTTCGTTGACAAGCGGTGCGCTTCAAGGATTCCAAGTGTGGTTTTTAATGGTTCTATGGCTTACTACAGCTATGACACCTGTGGTAACACTCCAGACTGCTACAATGACTTTTCCAGTGACAAGCGCTGTCCCTATGACCCCTATGGAACCAAGAGCTACAAGGTACACAAGGGACATAACTGCGAGTGTATTTTGCATGGGTCGCATTTGCCTGCAGATGTGTATACCCTTTACCCACTGGGAGAGCCTGGCAAGTATGCAAACTTGACACACATCAGCGTTTATGGCACCACATGCGCTGCATGGGACCAAATGCCTAGCACCCCATGGGCTCCCTACTGTCCGCGAGATGCAGACTGGTGTCGCAGCGAATTCAATTTTTGCCAGCTGCCTTTTTGCTATGTGAGCGCAGAGTGCCCCAGGAAGATTCCAACCCGGATTTGGCATGGTGTTGCGAGTGGCCCAGCAGTGAATAGCTCTATGGCCTGGATGGCTTCTCATTTTAGCTACGACACGTGCTTGTCGACGCCGGACTGCTATTCCCGGCCATTTGATGCAGCTTGCCCCTTTGACTGGGTCCATTCAGGCTGGAGTACGCAGCAGAGGTGTCCATACAGCTGGTCGGATGTGTGCCAATGCACATATCAGGGACGCTTGTTGCCTCCCGATCTTTACATGAACTTTCCACTCGACTTTCCTGGGAAATACCAGCACTTGCCAAATATCGCGGCTTGGCTGCAGGAACATCGTTTTTTTTGACCAAGCATGCTGTGAACTATTAGCATCTATTATTCGTAACTATTATCGTCTACTGTGTTTATCTTTGTATATCTTTGTATCATGTTGCGTGGTTTTCTCACCCTGTTTCTCCTTTGCATTCCGACCTCCAATTTGTGTGGCCTCCTTATGGGTGTTCGGCGCTTGGCCACTCATGATTCACGCTGAGGCAGCTTATGGGACCAGCTGTGCGGCCTGGGATCAGGTGCAAAGACAACAGATGGAGTGGTTCAATGTGTTTCCATTGGTATGAATAGCAACGATATAGAATAACAGCTGGCGATGGAGATAGAATGATAGGAGAGAGATATAATTCACAAGGTATTCCAAGGAAGTTTAGAAGTCAAACTTCCGACAATATGGACAGATGAAAAGGACAGGGGGGAAGAAAAGAGCAGAAGAAAAGAGATGCAAGCGCGCGAAAAGGTAGAAAAGTCGCGGAGCACTGTTTTTTCCACTGATTTGTGGCTCCGGAGGGTCGAAAAGTAGGCTCGCTAAAGCGGCGGGTGCGGAGCCATCTGGCCAGATGAGAGATGAAAAACTGCACGCCTTTGTGGCGCGAAGCAGATTTCAAAGTCAAAAAGCTAAAAGCACCTCACGTTCGGCGCACTTTTGGAGGTTCAGATGTCGAAAAAAAGCACGCCGTTTTGGCGCGAAGCACTTTCCGATGTCAAAACGTACAAAACACATGTTCGGACCACCTTTGGAAGTCGGGATGTTGAAAAAGTGCACACCGTTTTGGCGCGAAGCACTTTCCGATGTCAAAATGTACAAAACACATGTTCGGACCACCTTTGGAAGTTGAGATGTTGAAAAAGCGCACGCCGTGATGGTGCGAAGCACATGTCGAAGTCAAAATGTACAAAACACATGTTCGGACCACTTTTGGAAATTGAGATGTTCAAAAAGTGCACGTTGTGGCGCGAAGCAAATTTCCAAGTCAAAATGCACAAAGCACCACATGTTCGGACCACAGGATGTGGTTTTTGCGTGGTAGGTGCAAGGGATTCGGCAGGCACAGTGCAAGAGACATGTTCATGCGGCACTTCGTATGGCCCGGCCTCATTTTTAATGCGTGGCAGGCGCAGTACTTTAGGCAGATTGAGTGGAAAACCGCAAAACGCATTGGTATGAGGCCGTCAGCTCTACACTCAATTTTCCATTTTTGAAGGAAGTTTCGCAGAATTGCCTAGTTTTTGATGTTGTCAAGTTGAAAAGTTGAAAACTTGAGGAGGTCTCGCAGACTTGCCTCATTTTTGAACTTGTCAAGTTCCAAAGTGAGGAAGTCTTGCAGATTTGCTTCGTTTTTGATGTTGTCAACTTCGAAGATTGAGGAAGTCTCGCAGAATAGCTTCGTTGTCAAGCTTGCAGGTGGATAGATAGATAGATAGATAGACAGATAGATAGATAGATAGATGGGCAGATTGATAGATAGAAAGACAGATACATAGACAGATAGATAGATAGACAGACAGACAGATAGATAGATATATAAAAAGACAGATAGACAGGTAGGCAGATAGACAGATGGACAGATTGACAAATAGACAGATAGACAGATAGATTCAAAAGACAGAGAACCAGATAGACAGATAGATAGGTAGATGGATAGATGGATAAATAGGCAGATAGATAGGTGATAGATAGATAGACAGATAGATAGATAGACAGACAGATAGATAGATCGATAGGTAGAAAGATAGAGAGATGATAGGCAGATAGATGATGGATGGAAGGATGGAAGGCTGGAAGGCTGGATGGATGGATGGATGGATAGATAGATAGATTAGATAGATTAGATAGGTTAGATAGATTAGATAAATTAGATAGGTTAGATAGATTAGATAGGTTAGCTAGGTAGATAGATGGATAGATGGATGGATCAGATTGATTAGATAGGTTATATAGATTAGATAGATTAGATAGATTAGATAGATGGATGGATGGATGGATAGATAGATAGATAGATAGATTTGAAAGATTAGATGCATTAGATAGATTAGATAGATTAGATAAGATAGATTAGATAGATTAGATAGGTTAGATGAGATAGATGAGATAGACGAGATAGATTAGGTAGACTAGAAAGATAGAAAGATAGATGGAAAGATAGGATAGATAGATAGATAGATAGATAGGTTAGATAGGTTAGATGAGATAGATGAGATAGATTAGGTAGATTAGAAAGATAGATAGATGAGAGAGAGAGATAGATAGATAGATAGATAGATAGTTAGATAGATAGATAGATAGATAGATTAGATAGACTAGAAAGTTTAGATAGATTAGATAGATTAGATAGGTTAGATAGATTAGATAGATTAGATAGATTAGATAGATTAGATAGATGGGATAGATTAGATAGATTAGATAGATTAGATAGATTAGATAGGTTAGATAGATTAGATAGATTAGATAGATTAGATAGATTAGATAGATTAGATAGATTAGATAGATAGATAGATAGATAGATTAGATAGATTAGATTAGATTAGATTAGATTAGATTAGATAGATAGATAGATAAATAGATAGGTAGATAGATAGATAGGTAGATAGATAGATAGGTAGATAAATAGGTAGATAGATAGAAAGATAGATGGAAAGATAGGATAGATAGATAGATAGATAGGTTAGATAGGTTAGATGAGATAGATGAGATAGATTAGGTAGATTAGAAAGATAGATAGATGAGAGAGAGATAGATAGATAGATAGATAGATAGATGGATAGATAGATAGATAGATTAGATTAGATAGATTAGATAAGATAAGATAAGATTGGATTAGATAGATAGATGGATAGATTAGATAGGTTAGATTAGATAGATGGGATAGATTAGATAGATCAGATAGATTAGATAGATTAGATAGATTAGACAGATTAGACAGATTAGACAGATTAGACAGATTAGACAGATTAGACAAATTAGACAGATTAGACAGATTAGATAGATTAGATAGATTAGATAGACTAGATAGATTAGATAGATTCGATAGTTTCGATAGGTTCGATAGAGTAGATCGAGTTGATTGATTAGATAGATTAGATAGATTAGATAGATGGATAGGGTAGGATAGGATAGGATAGGATAGGGGAGGGCAGGATGGGATGAATAAATAGATAGGCAGATAGACAGATAGACAGACAGACAGATAGGTAGATAGATAGATAGACAGACATATAGATAGACAGACACATAGATAGATAGAAAGATGGATAGATAGAAAGAAAGATAGGTAGATAGATCGATAGATAGATAGGTGGGTAGGTAGGTAGATGGGTAGATAGGTAGATGGGTAAATAGGTAGATAGGTAGATAGATAGATAACCCAACACTCCAACCACCTTTCGATCCATCAATGGGTTCGCTCTGCCATCCATGACCCACAAGAACCAACATCTCCTATAGGCTTCCTATCTTAGAAACTTCCGCCACCGTCTTGTGTGCCATTACTGGGTTTGATGTAACCAGTAATATTTTGCGATGGTGTAGTTTAGGATTCATATTCCAGTAGGATGGTTCTGATATGTGATGATATTTGTTAAATTTGCGCTGTCCCCTGCAGCCCGCAGCCCTGCATGAGAACCTGAAATTCAATCAAACACGTACAACTCGCAATTTCAAAACGAGCTTTCAATCTTCAGAATTGTGATCCACTCAAACATTTGGAGCATCTCAGAGCCAAACTCAATGACAGACCTTCTGAATCAGGTGCCAGGCACTCCTTTGCATTCTTCGTGCAAACCTGGGAGTAATTGGACGAGTCAAGAGCACAACTGGTGTCAAGTGCCGTGGTGTTATGCACCTTTGCTGCATGGGCAAGCCTTGGGCCTCTGAACCGTGATGTTCCCATCCAGACATTCAACTGCGTATAACTGCGTTCTGTTTTTCCGTTTGGCCGGAGTTTCCAGTTTCCATCTCTACGGTTGTTACAACATATTATAACTGGTGGCCGGTGAAAGGATTGATTCATTTTTTGACTTCTGTGAAACATTTGACCCAAATTACGCGACCTAGGTTCACCCCAGCTGTCCGTCGTCTATTGCAACACATCTCTTTGAGGGCTCCATGACGGCCTCCTACAGCACCTCGACAAAAAATCATTTCAAGTTCTAGAATGTTGAAGGCAGAGATGAGCATACATTGAAGGCGTGTTCAACACTTGTTCAACACATGTCTCCACTTCCCCTTATTCCTCCCATGTCTATGCATGTTTTTTGACCCATGCCTTAAGAAATTATTCCAGGGTATCAACTAGGTTATGGAATAATTTCTTGTGGAATAATTTTCAAGGAATAATTTTTGAGGGGGTAGGTATACGATTATGCATGTTGGAATTTGAAAATCATGATCCAGCCCGTCAAGATACCCCGGAATAATTAGGTTTTGGAATAATTTTTGGTAACTTAAAACATCTTGAAGCAGCCTATACTTCCTACATTTGGCCTGGCCTTTCCAAAAGCCATTCCTAGCTTGGCGGTGTTTGCCTGAAAACTTTTTGCTGGAAATGCCAATTGCAGTTATTTAAGGCATCATGCAGTTTGGGCAATTGCTGCCAACCTTTTTTTGCAGCGTACTTGCACGCACAACTGGTGTCCACCGGACCACCTTTCTCTCACGGTACTTTCTCTCGAGAGCTCTTTGGGTGGCAATGAATAGGGAATGTTAGGAAAATACCTAGGAAAAGGCCAGGTTGAGTGCCATTGTGTGGGCTTCCCCAGGGAGGAAATTATTCTAGGGGCATTGGAGATGCCTGGTACCCCTCAAAAACGAAAGTGAACAGCTAATCACCAAATTTGGCAAGAATTGTCAAAAAACAAATGAAACCCACACATTTCCCACCCATTCCCACTATGGCCAACGGGAGTTTTTTGGAAGGAAATGAAGGGAATATGGAAGAAATAGGGGGGCGGACGCAAAGTTGGGAAAATTTGTAGGAGAGAGCCAGGTTGAGTGCCATTTTGCGGGCTTTCCCCAGGGAAGAAATTATTCTAGGGGTATTGGAGATGCCTGGCACCCCTCAAAAACGAAAGTGGTCAGCTAATCACCAAAGTAGCCCAGAAACTGGCAAGAACTAACATAAAACAAATGAAACCCAAACATTTCCCACTCATTCCCATTATGGCCAACGGGATTTTTTTGGAAGGAAATAAATGAAAGGAATATGGAAGAAATAGGGGGGTGTACGCAAAGTTGGGAAAACCTCTAGAAGAGAGCCAAGTTGTTTTTTTTTCCGGGTTTTCTCCAGGGGAGAAATTATTCTGGAGGTATTGGAGATGCCTGGCACCCCTGAAAAACAAAAGGGGGCAGCTGCTACAATCACAAAACAAATCCAGAAATTGGCAAAAACAATTAACCAGTGACAACCAAATATTTTGCTTTTCCCACTCATTCCCACTAAGGCCAGAACCACCAAACTAGCCCAGAAACTGGAAAAACACCCAAAACCAACTAAAACCATGTTCAGCCAGTGGGTTGCTGAGAGGAAATTTGTTTAAAGATACTATTCTGACTCTTCTTGATCCTATCTGATTATGTTGAAAATTGTTTAAATTTGTGCCCCAGCTCTGCAAGAAGGGAAACCCTTTTCGGCCGTTTGTGCGTAGCTGCTTACGATCACTTGCATTTAGCTAGAAATAGACTATACCGGTATCATTTTGATGGAAATTATTCCATTTTTCCATTTGAACTCATTGAGTTCTTAGAATATTTTTTTGTTTTGAACTCAATGGATGCCGGAATAATATTTTTATTATTCTGAGGTATGTTGACGGGGGTATCCCCTTAAGGCATCCCTCATCATGTTTTTTTCCTGTTTTCGCTCTTGAAGGGTAGTACATTAGTTAGAGCACATTTTTCCCCTTTCAAGTCTATTCAAGTCGTGATCTCAAAGCGGTCAACTATGGTCAAATCAACAGTTTGTGATTGCTGAAGTGGCAGCGGCATCCGTGTCTTATCTATCCGCCAGGCTATGATGCATGTGGCAATGCGCCGGACTGTTACGCCAATTCTTCCGTCGACAGTCAAACTTATTGTCCATACGACCCATCTGGAGACAAGTGGGGCGCTTGATTGGTTGTTGTGATGCTGCGTACAAGTGCATTTTGAGTTAGAGCATCTCACAGATGATGCATTTGCTGCATTTGCCAAGGTCCTACAAGATTCACAAGAGTCGCGGATGCGAATGCATTTATCAGGGTCGACAGTTTCTTGGAGGAAAGTAGTCAATTGATGCCAATTGCATGTTTCTTGACCAGCACTGGTATCGGTGAATGCTCTGCTTATGTTGCGTTTTCATTTTTCTGAGGTTGCCAAGCTACTTCTACATGGACTTCCCCTTGAGTGATCGAGGCTATTCGGCAGGCACTAGGCAGAGAATTGTCAACTCAGTCCCAATGATAGATGATGATAGATGATTGATATTGTTTGTGTATCAGCTTAATTATTTGAGGCAGATATGCAAACTTGAGCCTTGACTGCAGACCAGCTCCCTGCGGGATTTGGATGATTACAGTATTGAAAAACACGTGACACGACTTGCTGCCAAGGAGCCTCATCAGTATCTATGGGACCACCTGCGCAGCTTGGGATCAATTCCCAGAAACTCCAGGCTTCCAGTACTGTCCGCCCGACACCGCGCCTTGTCTGTGCAAACTGGCTTTCTTCTGGATGCGGAGCCAACAGCAACATATTTATTTTCTCCTTTTTAGTTTTTACAGCCTTAGGACTGGTGCCATTCAACCAACAACTGGTGCCAGCTTCCATGGTGTACCTCGGTGGAAGCGACTTGCAATATCTTGCAGCGATATGTTTTGATATGCCAATCAAATTCGTCAAATAAGTGTCAAGAGGTCCAAGAGTCAAAAGATTACGTCAGAAGTTTTATTTCGTCAGGTTATGTTAGCGCCTCTTGCAGCAGCAAAATCGAAACCAGTGCCTTGGTGCTGAACCGTGCTGAACCTGTCTCAAGAGTGCAGAAGTGATGAAAAGACCTGATAGTGACATAAAGATACATAAAGTGACAAATGTTGACAGAGTTGGGAAGGTTTTTCCACAGTGTTCTGTGATGTTCTGCGCGAGTATGTCGAAGTAGACTTGCCAAATGACAGCTCTGAGTGGAGTGTGCCACTACACGCGCGGTCTTTACTAAGTCCTTTTCAAACGTGTTGTAATTTGATGTAATTTGCTTTACTTTTGAGGAGGAGTTCTCATACCCAATCCCAATATCAGAATCCACGACAGAATTACAGCACGGTACTTGGGTGGGCGTGTGGACTGCCTGATGCTGTACTGAGATCTGAGTGCATCCCGTATCGAGAACCTGTTCAGACCACAATGTCGGTCAAGTCGATGCAGGTATTTTCTCCGGATATTTTGAGCCGCTGTACTACAGCTATGACACCTGTTTGGCTACTCCAGATTGCCAATAGCTCAGCCAGCGAGAGTCTTGATTATTGCTGACCACTGAGTCTGATGTCCTGATCCTGAGCATAGATTCTGGTACTTTTCAAGCATCTTCGATCTTGTTGCATCTCATTCCTCAGCTATAAGCCCTAAACAGCTGCCTGACTGACGAGGCTACACTGATCCCTTCGATGCTGCATGCCCTTTCGACTCGAGAGACACTGCATGGTCAACAGCGAGTCAGTGTAACGACTTTGAGAACCAGATTCGATATGACGGGTGGCATGGTTGCAGAATGTTGCAGATCCAATGTGGCCGGCGGTTGTTAATAAGCGAGCCTGGTCAAAGCCCAATATGTCCAGTGAAGCTGCTCATGTTTTCGACACTAAGACAATTACTAGGCCCCTTCCATGCTGTCAATGATTGTCAATGGTGGCCCGCAATAGTCATCATGTGGGCTAACCAACCAGTTGCAGTGCATGGCAACTCATCTCAAATAATCCCAAGGCCCAAGCAGGAACACAATAATGCAACATAGTTGAATAATGATTAATGCATATAATCGGGCAATATTTCTGGTGGTCCACCATTGCAAGCAAGCAGATGATTAGTGTTCATTTCGAGCCCAGTGACTTCCAAGGTGGACCGACGTGCCACTTGGCAGGAATCCAGGAAACTTATTTCAAAAGCAAAAGCCTGAAGGCACAACAGTTGAGAAGATTCTTTTAGCCACCTCCAGCTGTTCTAGATTGGATCATCAGAGAATTGCAGATAGATAGGTTCAGCTACCAGTCCGGATGTCGTGTTCTTTCAGTCAAACGATGCCATAAGATTCAACCGCCCTCCAGAGATTCGCCCCCAGGCCAGGTGGTACCATCATGTACTATATAGTGTCTACCATGTCTAGATAGTGTCTACACACCGTACTTCTTGGAGAGGTTGTCGTGGTGCCGCTGTTGGTTCTTAGTGAAGAAATATGATCCAAAACGCCTGTGCATATTATGTATGCAGCATATACAAATGTATGATTATATGTACATTTGCATTCAAATGCATTCAATGGCATGGAATGTTTCATATATAGATGTGGTCATGCATTGCGCCCAATTGTGTGCATGATACAGTGTTTGGATTCTCCTGCCTGATTGGCTATTACTAAAATGCCATTGTATTCTGGATATTCATGTCTAAGGGTTCTCTCCACCTGCCTACATTGCTTTTTCAAGTTGCATGTTGGCTGTGATGAAGTGTGTCTGAGATGATTTCATGGCAACTATACTTGTGGCACGAACCAAGATTAAGATCATGCACTTCTCGCATTTCCTATTCATATGGCATGTATTCATACATGTCCTGGAGAGCAGACATGCAAATGGCGTACACAATATATGCATCCCACAGATCCCACATGCTCCAACCTGGATCGCCGATCTCTCGAGGTGTCAGTGCATCTTCCAGGGTGGGACTTTGCCGGAGGACGTGTACACACACTTCCCCCTGGAGGTGCCTTATGGACCACCATGGACCACCAGGGTCGCTTGGGTCCAGCTATGTCAGCTACGTCATGTTTAGTGAGTCGAGTCATGTTGGGTTGAGCCCGGCCCGCTGCGCAGAATGTTCTCCTTCACTCTTGGCAATAACAATTTGGGCCCGAAAAGTCCCTGAAAGACGAACCCGAGAATTGTTCAAATGTACCCTTTACATGAGCAAGTTGTGTCCTGAATAAAGCTCGGGAAAGTTGCCTCTGTATTTCATTTGCACATCCTGTTTACGCAGGCGCCGGGAAGACACGCCACCTTGACCAACATAAAGTTGTATGGAAGTTCTTGCGCGGCTTGGGATCAGTTTCCAGGCACTCCACATCTGCAGAATTGCCCTCCTGGTTCCAACTGGTCGCATCCAGATCACAACTGGTGCCAGTTGCCCTGGTGCTATGTAAGCAGCTCTTGTGTCTACAAGATTCCCTCGCGGGCTTTCAATGGCTCCAATCTGTACTACAGCTATGAGATTTGTGGTGCTGTTCCTGATTGTTACAACGACTTCGCCATTGACAAGCGGTGTCCCTACGATCCATATGGCACACAGTCCTATGTGGTCCACAAGGGCAATGGATGTGAATGTTCTTACCATGGGGTGGAACTGCCGGAAAGTGTGTATCGCAACTATCCAGTGGACGCGCCAGGCAAGTATGAGAATGCCAGCTACATCAAAATCTACGGTACCAGCTGTGCAGCATGGGATCAGATGCCTGGTACTCCATGGATTGAATACTGCCCTTCTACGGCGGATTGGTGCAACTCGATGTACAATTGGTGCCAGCTGCCTTGGTGCTTCGTGGGAAGTAGCTGCTCAACGCGAGTTGCAACTACGGTGTTTGCAGGGTCGGAGGCGGCATTCCTCAGCTACGACACGTGTTTGTCAGCGCCGGATTGCAGCACCACCCCTTATGACATACGGTGTCCGTTTGACAGGCATGACAACAACTGGGCTACACCGCAGGAATGTCCAGATAGCTGGTCTGACGTGTGTGAATGTATTTTCCAGGGGTCCAACCTGCCAAGCGAGGTGTACCTCAACCACCCTAGAGATCAGCCAGGTCAATTCGCCAGCCTTCCTAACATTGCAGCATATGGGACCAGCTGTGCTTCATGGGACACTGTGCCCGGCACACCTTTGTCTGCTCGCTGCAGGCCGGACTCAAACTGGTCCAGCTCGACATACAATTTTTGTCAGCTGCCTTGGTGCTACGTCAACAGCACTTGTGCATCCCATCGTGTGAGCTCACTCTTCAATGGCTCAATTGCATCCTTCTACAGCTATGATGCATGTGGTAACGCACCAGATTGCTACAGCCAATTCGAGAGTGATCCGCGGTGCCCCTACGATCCCTACAACAATGAGCATTATCACATCTACAAGGATGACTGTGAATGTTTGTATCATGGTCAACAGCTGCCACCAGATTTGATATCCAAATATCCGGCCACAAATCCTGGACAGTACGCGATGTTGCCCAATGTGCGAATTTACGGGACATCTTGTGCCGCATGGGATCAGTTTCCAGGGACTCCGCACTACCCGCAATGCAGACCAGAGTCAGACTGGTGCCATTCAAACTACAATTGGTGTCAGTTGCCTTGGTGCTTTGTGAGCGAGAAGTGCGCAAGCCGTGTAGCAAGCGGAACTTTCCAAGGGGCAGGGATGTACTACAGCTATGATACGTGCCTCTCCACTCCCAACTGTTACACATTTCCCTATGATTCAGTGTGCCCTTTCGATCCCTTGGACTCAGGGTGGTCGACCCCACAGATTTGCAAGACAAGCTGGTCCGACATTTGCAAATGCACCTACCAGTTGCACGGATTCGCTTGCAGTGTTGCGTATTGATTTTGTCTTTCATTTTCATATTTTGCTGTTGCGATTAATACAGTTTGAACCTCTTTGCCTCGCCGTATTAATTTCTAGTGTGCTCCCTTCTGGGCACAGAAGTTTAGATTGCACTGTAGCTGTACTTGCATCCAACAATCAGAAACAGTGGTTGAAGAGGTATGTGGAAGGCAGGAAAGACAAAGGAGATGGTGGAGGATCCGTAATTTAAACAGTTGCATGTGAAAGAGTTCTGTGTGACAAAATTGTATGTGAAAGAGTTGCGTGTGACAAAGTTGTGTGTGTGAAAGAATTGTATGTGAAAGATTTCTGTGCAACAGAATTGTGTGCAACAGAATTGTGTGCGACAGAGTTGTGTGTGAAAGAATTGTGTGTGACAGAGTTGTGGGTGAAAGAGTTGTGTGAGACAGAGTTGTGTGTGAAAGAGTGTATGTGACAAAGAGGTGTGTGTGTGTGACAAAGATTGCCTGTCAAAGATTGTGTGTGTGTGACAAAGTTGTGCGTGAAAGATCGTGTGTGATCAAGTTGTGTGTGACGAATGTGTGTGACAAAGTATTTATCGCTGTTGGTTTATACTGTCATTGTCTCCTGTGATTGTATATATATATGGTCACCCCCCCCTACGACCCCCCAATGTGTCATTTGTATTGTTATTTACAGCATAAAGTGCGTATTTTTAGTATTCCATTTTTGTCTTCTTCGTATATAGTCATAACAATACAATATCTTAAGGCACTTTGGGGAAGGCCCCATAGAAACACAATTGACCGCCGACCCAAAATCAAAAAAACATCGGGAAAACAAAAAAAAAAAACACAATATTTTCCGACTCCTCTGGGGTCACTCCATGAAAAAAACAAAAAAACCTTGAGAAAACCAAAAAAAACAAAAAAAAAACAATATTTTCAGACTCTTCTGGGGTCACTCCATGAAAAAACCAAAAAAACCTTGAGAAAACCACAAAAAACAAAAAAAACAATATTTTCAGACTCTTCTGGGGTCACTCCATGAAAAAACCAAAAAAACCTTGAGAAAACCAAAAAAACTAAAAAAACAAAAAAAAACAATATTTTCAGACTCTTCTGGGGTCACTCCATGAAAAAACAAAAAAACCTTGAGAAAACCAAAAAAACAAAAAAAAACAAAAAAAACAATATTTAGAAACTATCTCGAGGGCCCCCCCCCCAAAGAATCGCTAAATATTGGTGTTGGTTTTTTTTGTTTTTTTTGGTTTTCTCAAGGTTTTTTTGGTTTTTTCATGGAGTGACCCCAGAAGATTATAAGAATATGAAAACTCATAATTTCTCCAATATTTCTTAAATGCAAACACTGTCTATCACTCATGCATCTGCCAATCCGTAACTGAACTGTTTCAAATCCAAACTACTGCCTTGACCTGTCTGTCATTCATGCATCTGTCCAGCTTCAACTCAGCCATTTCAATTCCAAACTGCTTCCTGGATCATCGCATTTGCTTCTTCGTTTTTTTTTAAATTGTTTCATGGAGTGACCCCAGAAGATTATAAGAATATGAAAACTCATAATTTCTCCAATATTTCTTAAATGCAAACACTGTCTGTCACTCATGCATCTGCCAATCCGTAACTGAACTGTTTCAAATCCAAACTACTGCCTTGACCTGTCTGTCATTCATGCATCTGTCCAGCTTCAACTCAGCCATTTCAATTCCAAACTGCTTCCTGGATCATCGCATTTGCTTCTTCGTTTTTTTTTTTAATTGTTTCATGGAGTGACCCCAGAAGATTATAAGAATATGAAAACTCATAATTTCTCCAATATTTCTTAAATGCAAACACTGTCTATCACTCATGCATCTGCCAATCCGTAACTGAACTGTTTCAAATCCAAACTACTGCCTTGACCTGTCTGTCATTCATGCATCTGTCCAGCTTCAACTCAGCCATTTCAATTCCAAACTGCTTCCTGGATCATCGCATTTGCTTCTTCGTTTTTTTTAATTGTTTCATGGAGTGACCCCAGAAGATTATAAGAATATGAAAACTCATAATTTCTCCAATATTTCTTAAATGCAAACACTGTCTGTCACTCATGCATCTGCCAATCCGTAACTGAACTGTTTCAAATCCAAACTACTGCCTTGACCTGTCTGTCATTCATGCATCTGTCCAGCTTCAACTCAGCCATTTCAATTCCAAACTGCTTCCTGGATCATCGCATTTGCTTCTTCGTTTTTTTTTAAATTGTTTCATGGAGTGACCCCAGAAGATTATAAGAATATGAAAACTCATAATTTCTCCAATATTTCCTAAATGCAAACACTGTCTGTCACTCATGCATCTGCCAATCCGTAACTGAACTGTTTCAAATCCAAACTACTGCCTTGACCTGTCTGTCATTCATGCATCTGTCCAGCTTCAACTCAGCCATTTCAATTCCAAACTGCTTCCTGGATCATCGCATTTGCTTCTTCGACATGGCTTTCAAAATTTTAAAAAAAATGTTAGTAGGAAAGTCTCAAGCGCAAAAATTTTCCTATTAGCGATTGGTGCGTAGAGGCAGTTTTCACAGCAGCATAAGACCTCAGCTTAGCAAAAGTGATGCTGCTGCGGCAGGGTCGACTCGTTGGTGACTTCAACGTGGTTCTGTGCAGACACAAGTCAAGCATAGTGAAGCAGATGGCGGGTTGAGGGGGGTCGTTGGGGGGGGGCTGAGCATATATATATATGTGTGTGTGTGTCCAATGTACATTCATCCTGTCATTTAATGGCTGGTGTTGCGCACGTCCGATGCATTCCACAGCCGAATTCGTAACAACAGTTCTGAGCAAGTGTGTGTGTGTGTGAAAGATTGTGCGTGACAAAGTTGTGTGTGAAAGAGTGTATGTGACAAAGTTGTGTGTGGCAAAGGGGGCGCAGAGGAGGAGGAGGCGGCGCGGGCGGGATACAGAACCAAAAAAAGGACCCCACACAAAGATGTGGGGAACAACCTCCTGGAATTCAACATGCTTCAATGCGTTCTACTTTTTGTGGTATAGTTGGTCGGCTGATAGTCACCCTGCACCATGTTTTGACATTGGTTGCAATATGTTGCATTTTGTTGATGTGCGTGATGCTTTTAGTATGTTTTAGTCCGGTTTAATCATGAACATTGTTCAGCGTCCAGTCACCCTGAAGCCTAGCAGCTTGGTTGCTCAGCCTCTGAGGTGGTCGTTGCTTCCGGCAACTTTGATCCAAAACTATCCCCGGTCCCAACCTGGACGACATGCTGCCCTGGCCAACATCCAGATCTATGGTACGAGCTGTGCTGCTTGGGATCAAATGTCGGAAACTCCTTTTGCAAACCGCTGTTCACCGGGTTCAAACTGGACAAACTCTTCATACAATTGGTGTCAGCTGCCTTGGTGCTATGTTGATATAACTTGTCCATCAAGGCGGGAGTCTATAGTGTTTGAGGGCTCTCGGACCATGTGGTACAGCTATGACTCCTGTGGAAACGTGCCAGATTGTTACAACGACTTCGCCATTGACAAGCGGTGTCCCTACGATCCATATGGCACACAGTCCTATGTGGTCCACAAGGGCAATGGATGTGAATGTTCTTACCATGGGGTGGAACTGCCGGAAAGTGTGTATCGCAACTATCCAGTGGACGCGCCAGGCAAGTATGAGAATGCCAGCTACATCAAAATCTACGGTACCAGCTGTGCAGCATGGGATCAGATGCCTGGTACTCCATGGATTGAATACTGCCCTTCTACGGCGGATTGGTGCAACTCGATGTACAATTGGTGCCAGCTGCCTTGGTGCTTCGTGGGAAGTAGCTGCTCAACGCGAGTTGCAACTACGGTGTTTGCAGGGTCGGAGGCGGCATTCCTCAGCTACGACACGTGTTTGTCAGCGCCGGATTGCAGCACCACCCCTTATGACATGCGGTGTCCGTTTGATTCGAATACTCTTTCGTGGTCGACGGGAGCCTTCTGTGTGGATAGTTGGTCAGACGTGTGTCAGTGCCTATACCAAGGTCGAGAGCTACCAGGTGACATCATCGCACAATATCCATTGCAGCAGCCAGGGCAATTTGCTTCCCTGCCCAATGTGGCTCTGTATGGCACGGCTTGTGCCACATGGGATTCCTTGCCTGGCACCCCTTTTGCACACCGTTGCCAACCAGGTTCTGACTGGTCGGGCGGTGACAAGAACTGGTGTCAGTTGCCTTGGTGTTATGTGTCAAAGGGCTGCGTCACCAGCCACGCATCTTCTGTGTTCAATGGCTCGGAGTTGGCTTACTACAGCTACGATGCTTGTGGGAATGCTCCAAACTGCTACGATGATTTTGCGACGGATTCCCGCTGTCCATTTGATCCTCACCAGTCTGGAGGGTATACACTGCACAAGGGACAAGGCTGTGAGTGCATCCATGCAGGCAGAGAGCTGCCCACGGATTTGTTGTTAAACTATCCATTGAACGATCCAGGAAAATATGCAAACCTCACCTACGCGCGGATCTACGGCACAAGCTGTGCCGCCTGGGATGCTATGCCCAAGACCCCCTGGTCACAGTATTGTTTGCCGGGTTCAGATTGGTGCTCCACAGATTACAATTGGTGCACAGTTCCTTGGTGTTATGTTAGTGACTCTTGTGCAACTCGCATCATGGACACAACATTTCATGGACCTGGTGCGCAGTTTTACAGCTACGATACCTGCTTGTCTTCACCTCGATGCCGCAGAGATCCTTTTGACCCACAGTGTCCCTTCGACTCGAAGGACAATGGCTGGTCGACAGCGGAAGACTGTCCAGATAGCTGGTCAGACGTTTGCACCTGCATCTATCAAGGGTTGACACTGCCGGAAGATCTCTACACAAACTTTCCCACTACTGAGCCTGGCAGATATTCGACCTTGCGCAACATTGCAATTTACGGTACTGCTTGTGCGCCATGGGACGTTGTGCCAGAGACACCTTTCGCACCTTTTTGTCCACCAGGCATGGATTGGTCCTCCAAAAGCTTCAATTGGTGCTCCATCAGCTGGTGCTATGTTGATGCCAGCTGTGTGACTCGACTGCCAAGCAGGGCCTTTACTGGCTCCCAGGCATATTTCAGCTACGATGCTTGTGGCAACGCGCCTGACTGCTACACAGACTTTGACAACAATCCAAAATGCCCATATGATCCTTACGGATCAAGCACCTATGCGGTGCACAAAGGGGGGAAGTGTGCATGTTCCTATCAGGGTTTCGAATTACCTTTTGAAGTTTACAACAACTTTCCCTTGAGTTCTCCAGGTGCATATGCAAGCCTAGCACACATCTCTGTCTATGGCACAACCTGTGCTCCTTGGGACCAGCTGCCTGGAACACCGTGGGCCAGTTATTGCCCACCAGGACTGGACTGGTGTCAAAGTGAAAATAATTGGTGCATTTTGCCGTGGTGCTTCGTGGGAGCCAACTGTAGCTCCAGACTCACCAGCACAACCTTCGAAGGGTCATTCGCAAGATTTTACAGCTATGATACATGCAAATCTGCACCAGATTGCTATCATGATCCATTTGATGTTAGGTGTCCATTTGACTCCAATGATGCCAGCTGGTCGACCCCTACAGTATGTGAGGAGGGCTTCTCAGATGTGTGCCAATGTTTGTATCAGGGGCAACTGTTGCCGCCGGAGATCTACGCAGCCGCTGAGAACTTTCCAAACTTCTCTGCCATGGCATTGTATGGGACAAGTTGCGCAGCATGGGATCAAATTGCAGGGTCGCCAACTGCCAGCAGATGTCCTCCAGGATCAGATTTTTCCAGTCCGGACCACAACTGGTGCCAGCTGCCTTGGTGTTTTGTCAGCAGTCAATGTCCTTCAAAGATTCCAAGCAATGTTTTCAACGGCACAAATCTGTTCTACAGCTACGATGTTTGCGGCAATGCCCCCAATTGTTACCATGATTTCTCTGGAGACCCGCGCTGTCCCTTTGATCCGACAAAGAGTTTTTCCTTCACGTTGCACAAAACTGAAGGATGTGAATGCAAGTATCATGGCTATGAACTAGATTCAAACATTTACATGTCGTATCCCACGAGCTTTCCGGGCAAATATGCAACGCTCCCTGGCATCAAGATCTATGGCACAAGTTGTGCTGCATGGGACCAGATGCCTGCAACACCATGGTCGAGCTACTGCCCTTATGGTGCAGACTGGTGCCATTCAAATTACAATTTTTGTCAGTTGCCTTGGTGCTACGTGGGAGCAGAATGTTCCTCCAAAATGCCGTCCATGGTGTTTGAGGGTGCAGCTGACATGTACTACAGTTATGACACTTGCTTTTCGACTCCCAACTGTCGCGAAGACCATTTGGACAGGAACTGCCCCTATGACAACAGGGTATCCGGCTGGGCAACAAGTGCAGATTGCAAGCATGGGTGGTCAGATGTTTGCGATTGTTTATATCAAGGCTCGAATTTACCAGAACTGCTGTATGAAAATTTGATGGACAATCTGTCTAGCATTGCCCTTTATGGCACGTCCTGCGCTGCATGGGATCACATCCCAGGGACCCCTTTGGCACACCATTGTTTACCTGGTTCTGACTGGTCGGGTGACAAGAACTGGTGTCAAGTGCCTTGGTGCTACGTGAACAGTTCATGTCCCTCAAGGATGCAAAGCCGTTTGTTTGGGAACGCATTCTACAGCTATGACACTTGCGGGAACGCACCAAATTGCTATGATGACTGGACACACCGGAGTTGCCCATTCGACCCCTATGGTAGCAAATCATATACGCTACACCAACATGGCGGTTGCGAATGCATTTTCCATGGCAGGCATCTTCCTGAGGAGGTTTATTCAAATTTTGCACAGGCTGAGCCTGGGAGGTTTCAGAATTTGAGTCACGTTAGTATGGCACCACCTGTGCAGCTTGGGATCAAATGCCGCAGAGCCCCTGGGCTTCCGATTGTCCATTTGGCGCGGATTGGTGCTCTTCCGCATACAACTGGTGTCAGCTTCCGTTGCCTGGATTTTCTTAACAATATGAGATTCATTTTTTCTTGGGGGTAGAACTTTGTGCGTGTTTTTTTTCGTGCTTTTTCGATAGTTTTCTTGGTGAACAGGGTGCTTTTCTTGGTGATTTCGTGGTTTTTCTTAGTGTTCTCTTGGGGTTTTCTTGGGGAAAAGTGTTTTCTTTGTGTTTTAGGTTTTTCTTGATGATTCAGCTCCATCGTTTTTTTCCTTACTGATTTGACGGCCCAGGTGGTGCTATGTCTCAGAAGCCTGCGCTTCCAAGTTGCCATCAAGAATTTTCGGAGAATCAAATTCCACGCTGTACTACAGTTACACAACTTGCATGAACACACCTGACTGCTACACTTTCCCGTATGATCCTCGTTGCCCATTTGACAAAATGGACTTGAACTGGTCAACTGCAGCTGAGTGCACAGATGGATGGACAGGCATAGCCGGTGTTCCCATCACTTCCTTCGATTTGGTCGTTGAAGTGAGTGACATTTGGAGTTTTGAGGCCCCAGCTGTTCTCGACAGCGTTGTTGGGATCGGAGCAGCGCCAGCAGATCATGTGTTCATCGATCGTGTGCTGTACCGAGTGGCCATCTCATATGCATTGCTATGGGCTTCAGTTCAGGTCACACCTGACCAGATGGCACAGGCAGCTGCAAGTGCTGCTGGTGTGAGCCCATCCTTGGCCGGAGCATCTTCCAGTCGAAGGTTGGACTCCCTCGAAGCTGAGGAAGCTGAGTCGCGTCGACTGCAAAACGTTTTTCAGCTGTTTGTGGCCTCCACCAATGCGGCAGACTTGGCAAGTTTGCAGACCAAGATCTCGTCCACCAGCAATCTTGAAACTGCATTGTCCAGCCTCGGGATCAGCGTTCAGGGCTTAGAGTTGCGGGTATTTGCGGTCATGAAGTGTTCCTGAGAAGTGTCGTGCATGCCATGTTTATTCTGTATTGGTGGCACGCACGCACACACACACGCACACACACACACACGCACCATATAATGTTGCGTCCTGATTAGTCTGCGGCCTTCCCCCCAAAAAAAGATCGCGCACTTAAGTAAGGATTTACACTTTTTTGAAGGCGCTTGTGGTACTTGTTGTATATGTGGTACTTGTAGTGTATGGGGTTCAGCATCTTGATTGCGTTACCTTTTCCACCTTAAGTTTTTGGCTAAAGGTGTAATACGAGAAAGAGAAAGAAAAAGAGAAAGAGAAAGGGAAAGAGAGAAAGAGAAAGAGAGAGAGAGAGATAGAGACAAAGACAAAGACAGAGAAAGAAACGGTTGCTTTTGAAAAAGGCCATTTTTTCTTCTCCTGGTTCCAGGATCAACTCTGGAAAAGCTTGCTGCAATTGTGAGCCCTGAGAACAAACCTACTACAGTGAATTGGACCCTCTCATGGCCCAGTGCCTTGGAAATTTGTGGAAAATCTGTTTTAAGTAAGGGGTTAATAAGCGATCTGATTCTTTTGGGAAAGGCTTGGACTTTGAACTTGGCAATTGTTTTTGGAAAAGGCATTCCTTTCTTCTCTTGGCTCCAGGATCAGCTCTGGAAAAGTTTGCTGCAATTGTGAACCTTGAGAACAAACCTACTAAAGTGAATTGGGCCCTCTCATTGCCCAGTGCCTTGGAAATGTGTGGAAAAACGATTCTTTAATAAGGGTTTAGTATGGTTTAGTAAGCGATCTGATTCTTTTGGGAGAGGCAGACAAGCAAGATTTCTTTCTAGAACAAATGTCAATTTGTTCACACAAACATTTTTCCCAAAAAAACGATTTGCCAAGACTTCTTGCCACAATAAGTGAACCTTCCAAACATTACAATGGCGACCCTAGCTACTAATCATAATCAGGTGCCGACATTACACGCGCACAGACTTGGCTGTTTATTTGTGCAGAGTTGATGCTGATGGCGCCTGCATTCTGAAATGTGGGCTGTTTATGGCTGTGTTTTGCTATGTTTGTTCAACATGCCGCGCATATATGCACATATTATATATATATAACTATATATACACACACATACCAGTAGTACCGACAAGGCGGTGGCGGAAGTTTCAAAAATAGAGAACTATAGGATAGATGAGTTGTTGTGATGCATGGATGGCAGAGGTGCTTGGAGCTGTGCTTTTTGGAGTGGTTGCAGTGGTCAACTCACCCACAACTGCTATATGTAGTGTGGCGTTGTGTGTAGCGTAGTGGCGAGTCGTAGTTGTAGTTGTAGTGTAGTGGTAGTTCTAGTTGTAGCATAGTTCAAGTTGAAGTTCAGGTTGAAGTTGGAGTTGAAGTTGTAGCTGTAGTTGTAGTGTAGTGGTGGAGTTGTAGGGTAGTGGTAGTTGTAGTTGTAGTGTAGTCGCAGTTGAAGTTGTAGTTGCAGTGTTCGTTGTAGTTGTAGTTGTGGCTGTAGTGGTAGTTGCAGTTGTGGTTGTAGCGTAGTTGAAGTTGAAGTGGTAGTCGTCGTTGCAGTTGGAGTTGTAGTTATTGTGGTTGCAGTTGTACTTGTAGCTGTAGTTGTAGCGTGGTGCAATGGTATTTGTATTTGTGGCTGTGGTTGTGGATGTTGTGGTGTAGTTGTGGTTGAGGTTGTAGTTGTAGTTAGTTATAGTCTTAGTTGTAGTGTGGTGTAGTGTAGTTGTAGTTGGCTATCTATCTGTCTATCCGTTTGTCTATCTGTCTATCTATCTGTTCTTCTATCCATCTCTATCTGTCTATCTGCAAGCGTGAAAAAGAAGCTGTTCTGCGAGACTTCCTCACTTTTCACTTTTCGAAGTTGACACCATCAAAAAATGCAGCAATTCTGGGAGACCTCCTCAATTTTTGAACTTGACAACATCAAAAACGCAGCAATGCTGCGAGACCTCCTCAACTTTTGAACTTGACAACATCAAAAAACGCAGCAATTCTGCGAGACATCCTTCCAAAATGGAAAGTTGAGTGCAGAGCTGACGGCCTCTTACCAATGATTTACCAATGTGTTTTGCATTTGTTCCTTTCCATCTGTCTAAAGTACTGCGCCTACCACGAAAAAGTGAGGCCAGGTCATACGAAGTGCAGCACCTGTCACGCAAAATCATCTTAGCAAACCTGAAGATCCGATGCTCCAAAAATGCAACCTCTCTCAGGAAATCAGCGCCCGGGCCTCCTAACATGTCTGGTGAACATGTCTCTTGTACTGCGCCTGCCACGCGAAATGCATCTTTGCAGATCCTCTTCAAATGCCCCACGCCTGCGACGCTCTGTAAAACCTTCATGTTTCACTCACTTTTGACAAGGTGCACAATCCGCGAGCCTGCCACACAAAACGACGCTTCGACGTCCAAAAGTGGTCCGAGCATGTGGTGCTTTAACATTTTTACTTGCAAATGTGCTTCGCGCCACATCCCCCTGCACTTTTTGAGCATCTCAACTTCCAAAAGTTCTCCGAACCACCATTTTTTAAAGTTTTGACTTCGAAATGCGTTTCGCGCCACTATGGCGTTCACTTTTTCGACATCTCAACTTCCAAAAGTGGTCCGAACCTGGTGTGTTTTGCGCATTTTGACTTTCGAAATATGCTTCACGCCACAACGGCGTAAAATTTTTTATCTCTCATCTGGCCAGATGGCTCCGCACCCGCCGCTTTAGCGAGCCCACTTTTCGACCCTCCGGAGCCACAAATCATCGGAAAAACAGATTGTTTCGCGATTTCCAAACTTCGATCGATCATAATATGTCGCATCCTTGCAGGGCCCTTTCAAAATCTCAGTTCCATGCTGATCCGGCGATGCTGATGCCTGTCCGCCTGCCCAGGCAGTGACACAGGCAACCAGCCTGGCTGCTCAGCAGGTGGTGGTTGCGATGAAAATGCTCGCAGCCGATCCGTTGGCCATGCCTTTGCCAGTTCCTGACTCCACCAGGTTGGCGGCACAACTCGGGCAACAACTTGGCATGGACGTGGTGGTCACCATTGAGAATGAGGCTTCGTTGGGCACACACATATACGTATATATATATATAATTATATATATATACATATATATATATATATATGTGTGTGTGCGTGTGTGCGTGATTGATGGTCAGATATGGTCAGGTATGGTCACTACTGCTGGTGGAAAAGGTGTATCCTTTTCATTCTGTTGCTATGTTTATTGTCGTGAGTTGGAGTTGCCCAGGAAACTAGTAGACATACTGGACGTACTAGAGAACCAGACATGGCATAAGCCCGCGGAAGCGAAAGTCCTGCTGTGCGGGTGAAGGTTTTGTAAAGATTGGCGTGCATAGTCATGATAGATCATGATATTAATAGTCTATTTCATGCACGTTGGATATTCTGGGTTCCTTGTCAAGCTGTTTGCCCCTTGTAGGCCCTGTACACGCCACCGACTTCCACTACCATGACGATGACATCGACCACAACACGAACAGGGACAACCACTTCAGTCACCCAAACCACCTCTTCCACAACTACCATCTCCACGACTACAACTTCTATAACCACAACAACTTTAGTGATTGAGACCCGGATGATTATCGAAGGAGTGGAGTACATTACCACCGAAATTGAGGCATGGGCAGTCGGTTACAAGTTCCTCGGCAGTAGTTACGTTCTTGGAGCATCTTAAAACACCAACCATCGCAGGTTCCCTTCGTTGAAGGTTTCAAGTGAATGAAGGTGTTATTTTGAACGAAAGCTCCGAGAATCTCCAAAGAAATGTTAAACATTTTATAAAACCTTGAGTCTCTCCAAAGAGTCCTGCAATTGTTGGGTCAATTGTTGGGTTCTGATGGTTCACTGATGGTTTCTGTGCTGAGCTGCTGAGGTATTGCCTGCCTGAGACTCACACAATGACCTCCACCACAATGACAACCACTGGGCAGTATGTGGGAGCAGCTGAGTTCCTAAGTTTAACATATACATTGATTATCATCGATTTCAAGGAGGATGCTACTGCAGTAAAATTCCGTAAAATCACATATATATATATATATATATATATTCTATGAATGTAACATCGTGCAGCTGCATTTATTGTACAAATTTGATGTGTTTGCAGAATGGTACGGTGAGGGTGCGGTGGTACAGCTCTCCCGAGTGTCCGCTGTTTGCTTGCTGTCTCAGGATTGGAGGGGAGGTTGTATTTCAGGTCTGTCGTGACATTTTTGTGGAGGACACTTCGTCTCTTGAAACAAATTTCAAACAGATGAATCAGTAGGTCTTGTGCTGCACAGGACCCTCCTACTTCCATGGAGTGCTACTGGAAGGGCCCACTGAGTTTGGACTGGGTGAAATTTGGAGGAACCGGGACTTGTTCCTTAGCTGCAGTGAGGCAGCAGGACATTGTCCATACGTATACGAATAAATATGCGCAAATGGTCGCACCTGCATATGTAAAGGTTCTGTGTATTGCGTGTCGCAGCTTCTTGTAATCGGATAGCGGGTGATGTCCTTTGCTTCCTAGTTCTTCTATAGTTGCAAAATAATTGCAATGCCCAGGTGCTGCGGCGTTGTGCAGATGTCCGGCCACTCGTCAATTAAATAACAGAGATTTACAGAGTCTACCTGAGGCATGTTGAGAAGGCAGTTTCTTGAAGTTGATGTCAAGTGGGTGTGTGAATATATGTATCATGTTTTGTATTGTTTTGTTATGATTTGGTATTTGTTGCAAAGTCTTTTTCATCCTAGGCATGGAAAGCTGGCAACCCACAGCATCAGATTCGACTGACCCTTGCGGGCAAAGATTACTACACGACTGAATCCTTGGCCATTGCTGGTGGGTGCCTGGGTCGAAAACTGAACGGGCTTAGGGCGGGGGATGCCCAAAACATCAAGAATTCATAATGAATGGCAAAAATTACGATCAAGCACGAGATTTTGAAGAAGCCAAATTTAAGACAGAGCCATGAACGTGTTCTAATATGGTTTATATATGTTTATATATATATATATACACGTAGTATTATATACGTATTATATACGTATTTTTGCTGCACTCTCGTCGTTTTGGTTGAGTAATTGACCACTAGTCACTAGTCGGCTGCTCAGTGCTTGTGGTAGAGCCTCCACATCCAGCTTGGCTCGTGGATTCGGTTGGGAATTAGACCCCTGCGCATCCAAGGCCAAAAGAATGCATCACAGCCTCCTGGCAGATAATTATTGAATATTATTGATAATTCATATAATTATATGTATATAATATAGATATAATGATACATATATATATAGATAGTATAAGACATAAGATATTTTATTATAATATGATTTGCCGATGTTCGGAATACGCAAGCAAGACGTTACTTACCCTGATCAGAAGAATTTGCATAAACAATCAGGTAAATCCACAAATTCAACTGTGGCCTTTCAAAATCAAAGACTTGCAGCTGCGGATGACTACGGAGGATACCACCACTACGACCACCACAACCACCTCAACCGAACTTGTTCTGGACAGCGTTGGTGTCTACGAGATGAACGGAGCTGTGATTTGACAAAACTGGGCGGGCTGGACGTGTTTGTACATGTTTTGTACTTTGTTTTGTGCTCCTGCCTGTTTCCTCCTTGATTGTTCCACCTTGGCGTCCCACAGATTTTCGCTGTCACACGGCACTGAGGTGCACTTCCACGTTTGCACTGACCTGGTTGGACCAGTGATTTGCAACTGGAGACGTCGAGGTGTCATTTTTGTGGCTCACGCATGCTCACGCCCTCCATGGATTCAGAGCAACATGATTCGCACATAAGAACATAGCTAGAATTAATTAATATTAATTAGATATAACTGGACTAGAATATATTAGAATGACAATATCCAACATATATCAACACGTGGAATTTGCAGATGCGCAGATGTCAACAGGATTCCAAGATGAATGGCAGAATATTCCCTCCCGCTCTGTGCCGCTTCAAGTTTATGTGCAGTATCAAGTAGAATCCATTACAGTAGAAGTTAGATAAGTTAGATGGGGGATCCATTACATTTGCTCGCTGCTCTACCCCCTGAAGATCCTTTGCGCAGGCCTCATGCTTCGGCCCATGCTTCTACCGTCCATGGATACTGAATTGGGGTGGTCTGTTTTTCTTTGTTTGTTAATGTTTGTTGATGATTATTGATGGTTGTTGATGTTTCTTGATCTTTGATTTTGATTGTGAATGATTGTGACATATTGATACATTGATACATATTTGATACATTTTGATACATATTGCATGTGGCACTCCAGCGGGCAGGTGAGGGATACTGGTTCCCCTTCGAAGGCTATGGAAGTTGCTGCTTGTCACAGCTTGGAATTCGATCAGTTTTGCCCGGATCCATCCGGATTGGGGGCTTCCCATCCATGTGGCTTAGGCTATGAACGGAAGTGTTCGTGCCCACCTATTACAACGGACCGTGTTGTGCTGCAATTTGTGCTGGCTGTTTCCTGTTGTTTAATGTTGTTTCTGTACGTACGTAGCCCTTACCTCTTGCAAACAGACTCTCCGGAGATTTTCATTTCAGGATGCATTTTTTTGTCACCTCTGCGGGACGGCAGGATATGTTCTACGACATGCGAGTTCCAAGCACCACAGATCCGAGCCTGCATGGCCTTGTAGCATCATTGACATCTTGCATCATTTTGTAGCATCTTGTAGCATCCTTAAGCCATCTCAAGTTAAACTCATGAAAGCATCATCAGTGAATGTGCTCAGGGGAGTGCTCTTGCGAGGAAAGATATATAACATTATATAACAGTAACTACTACTGTAGGAGTAATTGTAGAATTCATCAAGTTTCTGAACGTGCTAGATGCGCTGGGAACACCATGCTGCTTTAGTAACTCTCACAGTGGCCTTCATGTCATGTCATGTTATGTTTGTCATGTCATCTCATGCCTTCGCAAGAGCTTGTGAACCCACAGCACGCTCGTGTACATCCCACACACGTGGACGCGGCGCCAAGGAACCCACTACTGCAGCAGCCTAGTTGCAACATTGCAACAGATACTGTGAAGTCATGGAAGTTTTTCACAATTGCTGAGCCACACTAAGGACAGGGAGACCCTATAAGAATCAATAAGATGGGTATATACTTGTATGAGAGAGGAGTGTGAGAGACAGGTGTGAGTGCTGGCTCTCGTTTTGTGCCAGAACCTACGACGCGTTGCTTCGCAACTTGTTCTTGTGGGAGTGATACTGCAGCTGTGGGGGTTCAGCGAGGCCCCAAACACAACTGAATCGACAACAACTGCTCCACCAAGTACGACTATAGAGAACACAACTGAGACCTCGCCACTTGACACACAAAAAGTTGCTGAAACTGCACTGCTGTCGCGGAGACATGTTTGCGACTGACATGAAATTGCAATGCTTGACAAGGTGACAAGGTCCATGATATTGTACATTATGTCCATGCGGCGTACCGCCAGATGTGACATGTTCATATTCATCGAATTGGTGAAGTAAGGTCAACTACAGTTGTTAAAACCGCAGATGGCCAGCATGCGCAGAAGGCTTGTGTACAAATGATCCTGTCCCTGTGGCTTGAATGCATTATAGCTGCTAACCCATGGTCACAGCACACTTCTCTGATTGAGCAATGTTTGGAGAATGATAGGTCATAACCTCTAGATAATATGCACGTATATTACCTTATATTATATATCTAGGTCTGAAGTACACACACACACATCACACACACACACACACACGTTTGTATATGTGGGAGTATACAATGCGCTTACTTTATGGTATTTATAACAGTTTTTGTTCCTTCATACATGCTGGTTTAAATTTGCAGCATGCACTCTCAATCCTTGTTAAGTCTACTTTGGAAAGAGAAAAGTGGTGCTCCATTTCCATTGAAGAGGGCTGGGAACTAGGCTCTTGGTTTGGTGGACCGGTTGAGTCAGTGAGCAGCACCGAGTGAGCATGCAAGAGCATGCTACTGCTAGGTTCACAGCATTGAAGCAGGCAAGACGTTTCTTTGAATTTCATTCCAAATTAGTACTGGTTTAAATGAGTTCTATGAAATTCTTATTTTGCCATGTCACATTTTACAAACGAACACATCTTCAGAGAATTGACTATAGACTGGTCGGCCAAAAGCCGGAGAAGCAAAGGCTAAAAGTTTTCAGAAGCACCAAGTCTCACGCAAGGCACATGTCCTTGCATGTCATGTACTTCTACCCAGTTTGCGCTTAGCTGGAGAAACCGTTTCTTGATGCAGCCCTCTTAGCCCGGATGCAAACAGGTCATCAAAAGTTGCCATATGTTGTCATTCATGACACCAAGTTGTGAAGCTCACTCCGGTGCTCGTGGAAGCAGCGCAAATTATGTTAATGTAGCACTGGTGATGCTTCGCCATGCCAAAGGAGGCAAAGGCAGCGTCTCAGCTGTGCCCAATCTAGCGAACGAGTCTCACGCGTCAAATCACAAACAAAGGCGGAAGAAAAAAATGACCAGAACATGCCATAACCATCTATAACCATTTTCAAAGGGCATGATGTAGGCATGCTTGTGGTGGTTTTTGATGGTTTTTGTTGTGGCGGTAGTCCTGGCCATGACACACCCTGTGCCGTGAACATCACATCCTTGGTGACTGCACGTGTCCGCCAAGGCAACATTCGATTACCTGGTCTACTGATCCCAAGGCCTAATGGGCAGAATGCACAACTTGAAAAATCTGATCCTTTCATAGGACAAATCTATACAAATCTCACGATTTCGGCGAACTTGGGGTCGGTTTGGAAAGCTTCCTCAATTCAGATCAAATCTCAAATCGCCAGGGACGTCGCTGGTGGACAGGGCTTGCAAAACTGTGCCGAGACAGAAGTTCAACTTACTGAGTGGTGAGCCTGCTGCGAGCTTGACTTTGCAGCAAGATCTGCACCACCAAAAGCCAGAACTAACACTTTACAACGACTTATCAAAGCTTTCATCTCGGTGCTTTCCTCGACTTTCGAGGTACACTCTTAACCCACACTTTGCAGCACCTCGAGGCTTTGGTCGTTGCCTTAGATAATTGAATCAACATGGAATAAACGGGCTCTCCACTTTTTTTTTGTTGTTTGGCACCTGTCAGTGTCCAGATGTGTCCAGGTGTCACAGACTTCTTCCTCCCCAACACCTCTATCAAGGTTCCATATGAAAGCCTGTTTATATTGGAATATATTGGACAGGAAAAGTGGTGTCAGGCATATTATGGCATATTCAAGCAAGCATTTCCTTCAGCTTTGGTGTTGATGGTGCTATGGCGTGTAGGGTCCAAGTTCAACAAATCGGGATTTGGCGCAGCATGGCGCGGGATGCATTCGTTGACGATGCAGGGCCTGCTCTTGCGTCGTTGTGGGGAGCCGGTGTTCACACAAGGTACGCAGCTTGAACTCAGGGAATCCGACTAAAATCGACTAAAATGATCTCATATCAATAGGTCATCAATAGGTCATCAATAGGCCTAAGGATGTCTAAGGACCTTAGCTCTAGAAATTGTTTTAGAGCATACTGGAACTGTGCATTGGTGAAACATGGGCTGCACGATCCTGCGCACCACAGGACTGGCACGACCAGTGGAAATTGTGCTAGACATTGACCAGCCACAGGGCGTGCAGCCTGGCCTTGGCCTTAAGCCTTTGGAAGGACACAGATGGAAAAGGGATGAAAAGGGCAGAAAAGGGTTGAAAAATGCTGAAAGATGCTGAAAGGAAAAGATCAAACAGTCATGCAGCTAATTTCAGCTAACTTAGTTGCCATCATTTCTAGCACCCACCATTGTGCTAAGCTAAATTAAAAAGTAGTGAACGCCGCAACATGTATCCAAGATGAGCTCCATGCCTGCCAGCGGCTAAGGTTACCTTGTCGACCACATGTGTGCAGTTTTCGACGACGGCCTGCAACTCAAAGGAACGGAAGGAACCACTTTGAAGACTGCGTTTTGCCAATTCACCAGTGGGTCCCCCCAATTCACAAACCCTGTCGTTGATGCCAGTCTCAGATCATGCTGGATTTGGGCAGCATCATGATCCAAGCTGCTCACGAAGTTGCACTTGCACATGTTTGTTCGGATTATTGTCGTGTGCCAGAGAAACACAAATAGAATCAAATAGATACTAGAGGAAGTGTAGATATGTGCTTTGCTCTGCACAGACATGCGCGGTGTGTGACATACTAGAGAGCCATGACAGGAGAAAATAAACCAAGCATTCTCAAGAAATGAGTTGTGAGAATCTGTGAGGACCAATTTGGACTTTAAAAATCTTCAAAACACATTTTCATATATTTTCAATTATTTTCATATATTTCATATATTTTCATCATGTTCCTTCTTAATAATTCATTGGTTTTTCCGTTTTGGATCCATTTTTGTGGGTTCAAGGTTTGGGCGCATGGCTGGCTGCTCAGATTTGACGCACGAGCCACTTGAGTGCAGTATTAGTGCAGTGGTTGTGCGTAGCCACCGTAGCCGCAGGTCAACCACGGGGGTGTCTTCGAAGAACGCTGTCACCAATACGTCCACCCAAATGCGTGGTGCTTGGAATGGCTCCATGTGATGTTCTATTCAAGGTGGACCCTTGAGGGTTTTTGTTTATTTTTGTCAGGTTGATTTTCACCCTGAGGATTTGTCAATCCAGTCGCAGCTACGGCTACTTTGCTGCCTTGTACAGAGTTGTGAGGGAGGTGCAATTCCAAAGATGGTGAAACCAATCATATCATCATGCAAGCACGGATCAAGTGATGCGAACCTAGTTTCAATTTCAATTGTAGCGCAGGTGCCTCCGAATACAACTAGCCCTCCTCCGCCAGAGATCGAGGAGGACACAGGTCTTGGTTTGCCTGCAATTATTGCACTTGCCGAAGCCCAAGACTGAACCCAGTCAACAAAAAAACGTTGGAAGAAGCAGACCTGCACATGGAGTATTGCATGGCGAGCTTGTGAATTGCGACGTTTTCCTAGGTGGCTGGTGGCGCAATTTTCTTGGGTGGTGCCATTGGCGGAATCTACGTTGGGATCGTAGAAACCGGACCCAATTTGACATCGGCAGCGGGATGCAACACGAAACATCTCGAAACGTCTCGAAACATCCCATGATCCAAACTGGTTGGACATGGTTGGACTATTTGAACTGGGAACGGAATGGAACAGAGTGGAAATTGGTGACTTGAGGCGTGGCACCTCGCAAGGCGCATCCGTAGCTGTTTTTCTTGCATTGCAGGATGACGCGCTTAGAAGAAAGAATGGATACAACATGATACAACTACTGCGATGGCAATGGTAGCATGTGGCAGCATACAGCAATATACGGTATGATACGGTATGTATATGTAGTATATGTATATATTGTGTACGCAAACTCGGTTTGAGGGGAGCTGTGCGATTTCGTTTCAATCTCAACGGCGCTGTGATACTGCAACTCTTCGAATCTAGCAGAATCTAGCAGGTCCAAGAAGCCTGTTGAGCCTGAAGAGGAGGAAGAAGAAGAGGCAAAGAGCCTCTTCAAAAGTGAGTAGGGAGAGTTGGAATTAGGGTTGCCTAATGGGAAAGCAGACAGTGCAATGGTATGGACCACACGCCAATGGACAGGGCTTTAGGACGCTTTGAATTTGGTACTTGTAGCTTAAAATCTCTGTAGCACAGCCATGCCATGTGCCAGGTAGTCGAAGAATCAGAGTCCGAGTCAGAGGCTGTCGAGTGCAGATTCCGCTGTGGTCAGTGTGCTGTGGTCACCGTGGCAGTTGGCCATAGTGGCCATAGCGGGCAGGTGAAGGAACTACCAGATCCGGACTGGGTCAATGGGTCGTGCAATGTCGGGCGTTTGCACATTTTCTTGGACAGCGCTGCCAAGAATCTGTGGCAATCGGGAGCTCAAAAAACGCTTTGATAACGGTGCTCATTCAACCCATCTCTTGAGTTCTCCCAATAACCACGATCTGCGGGCTGTTCTCCATGATAGACAGTAGCAGGATCCTGCACTCACTAAGCTCCGACAAGCTGCCGAAGCTGGAACACTGACTGTAGGGACCTTAGGATACCTTAGGAAAACAGCCCTCATGCCATTGCTCTGTGAAAATTTGAAACTTGCTGACACTTTGTCCTCCATTTGTCCGTCTTCAGTTTCACTGCCTGAGCAAAGACGGGGTCAATAGATATCCAGAGTTCCAGCCTGGAGATTCTGCAGTTTTGCTGTCATGTCTTGACCGCATCCAGCTTTCAAGATCTTTCATCACACCTGCATCATGTTGGGTCAAGGCCAGAGAAATCCTAGCGAGGCATTCAGGTCCTACTGGAATTCGTCAGGAGAACTATCGGCCGATTGCGTTGCCTTGTGTAGAATCTGTTTATAATCTGTTTATTTACCATATGTTCTTGTAGTTGTTTGAATTCAGCGTGTAGCCAGGGGTCATCCTCAAGTTGCACAGGAGCTAGTGTGGGCACTAGACAAAGGCTACGAGAACAAGCGGCGCGAAGCTGCAAGGATGAAGGCAGTGCAGCGATGATTTGCAGCCTGTGCTTTGTGTGACAAGGCTGCAGCGCATTTGATCATGTTTCTGCCCCTATATGGCGCTGATGTTTGGCTCCCAGACCAATTTGAGATGTTTGAGATGGAAAGAAAAAATCACTATGAAAAACTGAGGTACATTCTGGTTTGTGTTATGCCTAGACACGAAACTCGAAGATCAAAGTGGGGCCAACATCACCGCATGAAACCATTTCAAGAAGAGCGTTTAGAGTTTAGAACAGCCTTGTGCCTGCTTTGGTTGGGAGTCTTGTGTGCAGCAGCCTGGCAGCAACTTGTGGCCGTTGTGGTATTGATTGGTACAGCATCAAACTCGAATGAGTTGAAATCCGCAGTGTCAAGGCCATGGCCAACGAAGCTGAATGGAAGGAGTGCTTCGATCTATTTGACAAGGCCCACAGTGCCCATTGTACGGGGTTGAAACATGTTGAAACAAAGCGCAGATGTGGCCACTGGATGCCACTGGTACGTGTTCCATTTTCAGGGTGTGAAGCTGCCGTGGGCACACTCGCACATGTTCAGCAGGATTCAGATGGCAAGATCAAGGCCACTTGGCCAAATCTGTTATTTGTGCATGGCTGGCAGAGTCACAAGGTAGCCGGATCAATCCAGAAGATATTCAGAAGATATTCAGAAGATATTCAGAAGATATATATTCAGAAGTCCAGCAGAGCAAGACAGAAATGCAAAAGCAGCGCATGATTGGAGGATGAATTTGCCTTCTAATCAGGTCCAAAATTTGATTTTTGTTTGACTGGCCTGACGTTCTACCATGTTCTACAGCAAATGTGTTTCGTAAATTCAGCGCGTATTGAGTCATCTTGTGCGCTGCCTGACATCAAGGCTGCTGAGCTGGGGGAAGCATTGAGATCCTTGGGCCTTGTCCTCACACAGAAGGAGCTATCGGACATGAAGGTGCCATGGCCGCCATGGCCCATGCCGTGACAGGATTCAGCAGACCATAGCAGACCACATGACCTGCGCGGTACGCTCAGGCAGAGGTTGGTGGTGACCTGATCTCCTGGGAGAAGTTCAAGGGTTTGGTCGCAAAGAAGCCCAAAGCACCAGAGAAGCAGGCGGCATCTGAAGTAGATTAGGTAGATGGAGAAATTAATAATTTAAAAAATAAGTTCCATCTCACTTATATAATTATATATTGTCTTGTTGTATACTTATATATATATAATCTGACAATATCTGACATAGTTATACAAGTCATACTAAATTAAGTCATGTACCGTATACGCATTCAGTTTCCCCTTTGGATACTGTGGTGATATTGTTGAGAGGATTGAAGCACGCATACATTGAAAGCATCGCAAACACGCAAGGCCCAAGCATTGATGCAGGCCGGGAGCTGCCCTGTGTGTGTGTGAACCAACAAGAATCATGAGTTGTAACAGGTACAATCCTCTAATTTATCGTAATGTATTAAGCATTGTATATATAGTTATATAATATGTCTATAAATATATATCATGGTTTGTTAAACCTATGTGCGTAGAATTATATATATACATGTGTATACACTTACTATACTAGTTTATACTTTTGTTTTGGTTTATTTTGTTATATATTTATATACGTTATTTTACATGTACGTTTCCAAATGTCCAAAGGTAATTTTATGCTACACGCACACATACATATACACATGTAACGGCAGAGGGATATTGAGTTGGAGGACAGTTGGTGCAACACCACCTTCAGCCCTGAAATGGGAGAAGCCTTAAGTCTTGCAGAGGTAGCCTCTTGCATCAGTAGGCACAGGCAGATGGCCCAAGAAGCATGGTGTTACAGTGTTACGCGACGTGCCTTAAATCCGTGCTTATTCCTTCATGATCCTTCATGCCCGAGGCGTTCCAAGTCTTTGATCCAAGCGGTTCCGGGCATGTGGACATGAAAGAACTGAGACACATTGTGAGCCACTTAGTTTTGCATGTCTTTCATGCTTTGTTTCCGCTGGCAGCTTCAGAGGATGCACGCGGTAATTATTGGTCATTGTGAGGAGATCAGGCTAAAGGCGAAGGCTTGACCATGCTTGACTGACTTGAAGCGACTGTATACAGTATCTACTGATATCTACTGTAAATACTGAAGTTTTTTGGGACAGCCCCAGGTCACAAGTCTCGGCGAGAAGCTAACGCCACAAGAATTCGAGGCTGGGACCCGGGAGAATCCAGTTCAAAGCACAGCCGTGTCAAGATATGTCGCATGTTGTGACATGTGTTTTGCATAAAAATCATGGAGCCTGTAGGACATTTGCAAAGCTGCTGGCTTGCCAACATCTGGCAGCCTGGCATACAAGCAGGCGCAGAAAAACATGTGTCAACAGCTGGAGGAAGATCCAGAATGAACATGAATGAATTGTTGATTCAAGATATTTAAGTGATTTTAAGTGTTGATTTACTTTGATTCAAGCTCTCTTGAAGGTCGTGGACAAGGTCACCAAGACCTGAACATGAGATCGAGCAGCAATTGCGCGAGCTTGGCTGCACCATGCCTCATGCCACCACTGCAAATTCGCTTTAATGTCGGAGCAAAATTTGGAGCGACCTGCAATCCGTTGCAGACGGGTTTCCGTAAGCTATGTAAGCTTGCTGATGCAGCTGATGCAGCTGATGCTTTCCGTGGGTCCAGAGAGTCGGTGTCGATTGAGTTACATTGATTCGACGGCTTCACTTCGGTTGTGACACACTTCGAAACGATCACTTGCTTTCAGCTGTTTTTTTCAAGCTCCTTGTATGGCGTGGACCTTTGGCGACGAAAGAAACAGTTCGTGCACCTGTTTTGACTGCTGGTGTGTATATTTAAGAGGAGCGAAGGGTATGACGAAATCTTCAACCGCTAGTCAACTGAGATTTGCTGCGTCGTGCAGAGACCTCAATGTGCAAATATGCTGGATATTCTTGGATAAAATTAGATGCGTTTAAGTCATTTGAAATTCGCTGTGGTGAGCCATGGAAGCGATGGAGCAACCTGCTCAGCAGAAATGCTGCGTTTGCTTCGATGAGCTCGCAGAAGAGCAGGGCATTTTATGCGGCGCTGATGCATCTCGAACGTGTATAGTTTAGTACAGCCGTGTCGCCGTGTCGACTTGCGAAAATGATAAATTGGCAGAATTGAGACTAGCATCCCATCGACACAGATCTGGTTCCATGCCTGTCCTTTCCAAGTTTCAATCTGAATAAGGAGCCACATTTCCTTTGCGACACGTGTTTGCAGAGCCTCACTCACAGCTGCAGTGAAGCCGCCGTTTATACTCAGAACCTTGGTCAGCTTGATATTGCAACATATTCCAACATCATATCTCTATTGAAAGTCGGTTGCTTTGCCTCCTGTCATCTCCGTTTGTTTATGTTTGTTTCCTGCCTACGGAGGCCATCGTGATGTGCCAGTCCTTGTAGAGTCGTAGAGCCACTGCAGTTGGGATTGGGGACAATTGGGGACATTATGATGTGCATTGATGTGCTATAGATTTATCATGATTTATCGGTATTTTATGGTATTTTTGCCTAGGAGGCGGAGAGAAGGTCGCATCAAGTGCCCGGCACTGGGGTGCTCAAGCCAACCTTACTCACACCAAGTACTGGCAGCGCACTTGTCGCAAGAAAGCTTTGATGTGAAACTTGTTTGCAGATCAGGAAAGCTGAGCAAAACTGTATTGTTTTCAAAGTTATAAACTTCAAGGTACCTTCTCAGCCGATGAAGCCGTGACAGTCTCCCATTCTGCTTGTTTTCAGTGTGGGTTCTGAACACTTCATTTCCTCTAGACTCTAGGTGTGATATTCAGCGTTGTTTGAAGCAAGCAGTCATTTGCATGGACTTTTGTCAGGTATTTGCAAGTGCCAAGGCTGCAATTGTGCCTAAGAGAAGCACATGTCATAGTCATAGTTGTACAAACCACGTTTGCCTGTACAGTACAGGGGGGCTCGATAGCCGCACGCACGCGGGATCAGGTATCCAAGCTAATGAATATGCATACTGCATAGTAGATCTGCACCATTCTGACCATTCTAAGCATTCTATGCCATTTGTCCATCGTTGCATTGCTTAGTGACTTAGTGCATTGGATTCTTTGACGGAGCAAAGGCCATTTTCAAGGTGGTCGAAGCGGAGGCTTTAGCCGGCACAGCTACTGACACTACCACTGAGTGGGTTGAGCTTCTTCGGAGGCATGTGGTTGAGGAGCCTTGTCACAATTGGCGCGACAATTGGCACAATGTTCAATTTGTTTCAATTGATTTCACCGATCTTGGTAGATCTTGGCTTCTTGAGTGAAAGGAACATTTCCACAGGTTGCCTCCTTTGTGCATTGTGTGTTCCAATTCATATCAGTTCATTCCAACTGATGCAAGTGCCTTGATATGCGTTCAGAATATGCCTTCATCGTGGTGAAACTATTGAAACTTCCTGAAACTTCCTGAAACTCAGGACATTTTGACCTTGAAATGCCAAGCTTGCGGTCAAGCCTTCGTTGACTTCGATGGCTGCTTCGCTCTGCGATGCAGTAGATGCCTTGCTGGGCTGTGCGCGTGGTGCGGCAAATCCTGCGCAAACCAGACTGTGGCACATGATCACGTAAGGCCACCTGCGCTGACAGAACTGATGGTGGGTTCATGTGGGTTCACTCATTTTCCTGGGATAGATTCATTTACATCATCTTACATCCACACAATCTATCCAATACATTGTTATACTGTAAGTGGGCTGACGCCCTGGTGCTGCCGACCCCCCGAAAAGATGTTTGACAAGGCTCGGCAGGTAGGGCACGCAGCAGTTTCGAAAGCATCTATAGAAGGAGATTGCGGCGGCCTACGTCGCCGCTCAGGAGCCTGCAGCAGTCTTGCAGCCCTTGGCAACGGGCTGAAGCTGCAGCGAAGCTCGGCAGCGAAAGCTCGAAGCTGCAGCGATGCTCGGCAGGGAAAGCTCTCACAGGGGAGGCCACGGCCAATGTCGCACAGCTTGCAAAGGAGGGCCACGGCTTCGGTTGAGGCTTTCAAGGCACCAAAACGTGCCATGCAGCAATTTCGAAAGCCTATGTAGAAGCAGTTTGCAGGGCCTACGTCACCGCTCGGGCGGGCTTTGGAGCACGCAGCCGCACAACAGCTTCGACAATCGAAATAGAAGCAGTTTGCACGGCTAACGCCGCCGCTCACGGTTGTTTTTGGCGGCGTGCCGTCGCCGCTTGGGTTTGTTTTGGTGGTGCTTGCAGAGGATGGCCACGGCCTCGGTTGAGGAGCCTTCGAAAGCTGCAGCGGAAGGCTTTAGGCTTTTAAGGGCTTTGAGGTTTTGATGGTTTTAATGGCTTTAAGGTTTTCAAGGCGTGGACGCAGCCGTTTCGAAAGCCTATATAGAAGCAGTTTGCAAGGCCTATGTCGCCGCTCTGGAGCCTGCAGCAGTCTTGCAGCCCTTGGCAACGGGCTCAAGCTGCAGCGAAGCTCCGTAGCGAAAGTTTTAAGCTGCAGCCATGCTCGGCAGGGAAAGCTCACACAGGGGAGGCCACAGAGCCAATGTCGCACACCTACGGTGATCCCAGGCGCCGCTCCGCCTAGGCCAAGGCCAGGCAGGGGCCGGCAGGTTTGATACTGCACATGATCACACGTGACCATACAGGTGCGCATGGGCGTCCGTGTGATGTGGGTATAATGTTTCAATTGTTTCAATACCGTTGAACCAGTGGATTCAATTTTTTCAATGATCAGAGCATTGGCATTTTTTCGCGGTTGCTGGATGTCTTTGGCCCAGGGCATGCCCCTTTGCACCTCATCATGACCAGCTGTATGGGACAAGAGAGCAGTTTGAAAAGGCATCGCGGGAAAGAAGGCTTGAACGTCTCAACCGGTTCCTCACAGCTGTGGAGCGAGGAACTCGAAGCATGGTCAAGATTTAGAGCTGTGAAATCTGTGGAAATCCGGTGAAATTTAAGACATGACAGCAGCATACAACAGCACACAAAAGGTATTCTATAGTACGTGTTTGTGTGGAAAAAGGAACGTACTTCGAGGATAGTCCTGACTCATTCCATGTAAACGAGATAGGCTCTAAACATCTTTAAATTCATCTAAATTCTACACCCTTGTGTGTCTTGGTGGCCCAGGACAGCGATTGCTGCATGTGTTGCAGCCGGAATTGCGAGATCTTGGGTGCACATTTGAAAGCACACGGTTTCTGTATCCCCGCCCAGCCCGGAGAAAGCGGTGGCTTTTGCTGGGTTTTTTCCTGTGTGGTTGTCTCATTTTACCTTGGATACTTGCTGCGAGGCGTGGCTGCACAATGCTGCACATTTTCCTTCAACTTGGTTCCCATGTCCAGTGACCATGCACTGTGCTTTGCCTTGTTTGCCTCCAGGCACCCTGCCGAGACTTTGCCTGATGTCTTAGAAGAAGCAGATGGAGAAGTGCAATCTTACGTGCACAAAGCCCAGTCGGCTTGCATCTCAAAGGTTTTCAAATTATGGCCATGATCTCAGGACGTCAAGATACGTCACGGTACGTCACAGTACGTCACGCTTCGTCACGATGTGCCAAGTCAAGCAGCATCAAGCTTCAGCAGCATCCAGCGGCTGCCATCAGCCGCTCAGGTCAGATGTGGAGGATATTGGTTTTGAAGTTGCCAACGTGTCTCCTCAAAAAGATGCCAGTTTGCATCAGCTTGCAGTGAGAATAGTTGCAAGATGTTGCAAGGCTGTTTCCTGTATTTTCCTGTATACCACATGCAAAGCATTGCAAAACAAACAGCCGTTTTCGGCCTTGCTGTTTTTTGTTGCTTCACCATGCTACATGACCACAGCTGAGGATCCAGGCCAGCCAGGCTGGAAGAGTGTTCCTCGGATGCCGAAATTTGGGACGACTTGGAACCTTATGGAACCTTCCATTGCCCCAGCATGCCCCAGCCGATTTCCAGTTTTCACTTTCAGCATGGAACTTGCAGCCTTAAGTCTGAGGCAAATGAGATATGTTTGCATATGTTGGCAGACATTGACATAGCATGTGGAATGCTAAACTATGCTAAACTGCTACAAACCAAATCTGGGATCGTGCCAACTCACTTGTGATTTACTGTGCATTTGGATCCATATTTGGATGAGGGGATGCATGGTGATGTCATCGAAGCCCAAGGCAATTGACGAGATTTTCTTCCTGCCCCAGCGAGTGCAGATTGTGCTGGCGTTTATGACTGTCTTGGTCGTCGCGTTTTGTCTTGGGCTTCCCGTCGCATTCTTGGGACTGGTCCTGGAGATGGAATTGGTCCAACACTTTCTCCGGCGTCTTGATGGCAAGCTTTACTGGGACCACAGTTGCCAATAATGTGTGACTATAAAGTATAAAATATTATAAAATGAAAAAGGATGAAAAAGGGACAGTAGTTGGAATTAGTTGGCTTTGGGTGGATTGCTCCACCGAAGGATGCATCAGGTGAGATTCCATAGGAACAGGCCTGAAGCCATGCAGCGCCACCCCATGAGTCAGCAAAGTCTATCAAAGGGATTGTATGACTTGCAGTCTTTGCCAATGCAATACCCAAATGAAGCACGTTTGCCCTAGGTGGTGCTACTTCCGCGGAGGAAGGCCTGGGGTTTTGATTTTCAGTAGTTTTGCCAGGCATTTCGCATTACCGCTTGCTTCGCTCAGTGCGATTTAGTGTCCACATTCTTGACAGTTTGGAGCTGCACAGCATTGGGTTCAAGCAGCAATTTCAAGCACTTCACTATCTTCACTAAGGTGGCTGCAGTTTTTTCGTGCTTTGCCCTCTCCAGCAGCAGACAGCTTTCGTAAGTTCGTGGAAGAACGAGGTGAGTTGGCAAGAAGAGCTGCAGCTTGGCTATCACAGCTGATGAGTCTTGAGCCAACGAAAAACAAGCAGAGCTTGCAACACAAGTTGTGAAATCTGAGGCTCACACCGGTCGCTTGAAAGCTACACAGGTGCAGCACACGCCAACCTGTTGAGCTGTTGGATTTGTGCCCGCTGTAGATTTTTGAGCTGTTGGTTTCTACCGAAAGGGGACAAGGGGATCTTTGCACATGTCTTCCTTTCACAGACGCCTCATCAAGTCTCATCAAGTCAAGTCTCATCATATGTCTTATCGCGTCTGATCTCTTCGACTATTCAGTATCATTCAGCAGTTGCGCTTACGGTGACAAGTTTGGGAGACAGCAGGCGACTGCCTCTACGCCTTTGGCTTTTGCAGAGGTTGGCAAAGCGGGAACAGCATTCCGTGCCTCGGCTAGAAGTGGATTGACACTTTTGTGGTCCCTCGAAGCATGTGCCCCCCATTGACCCTCTGACCCCGTGAGAAGATTTCGAAATGCTTCAAACAAAACCGAATGAAAAATTGGATCCTGCTCCTCGTTCATCTATGAGGGCAGTTTTGTCCCTTGCAAAATTCTCGATGCAGTGCACAAACCTCGAAGGTCCGGTGTCAATGGCTGGAGTGGGTGCCAACGTGACTGCCTATGCTTGTGCGCTCTTGGCTGTTGCAGCCATTTGTTTGGCTTTGGCATTGCTATGGCCACGGGCACCATGTCTCAAGCGTCACCATGTCTCAATACTCGAACATGTAGAATCCTTTGTAGGCGTCGCATCTCGCAACAGATGATTGTTTACAAGGGGCCCAACTTCAAGTGTGGAGAGTGCATCAGCACAGTGTGTTTCAATATGTTGGAATGCACTCAGGACAATTAGGTTACAGTGTGATGAATTATTAGCAATTTGTGTGGGAATATGCATTTAAAGTTATTATACTATAAATTATATATATAACACATAGTCACATAATACATAATTCAGTACAATTCTGTTGCCTAACCCATTAGGGCCTAACCTGAATTAACCTGAGGTTCAAACGTTACGAGGATGGAAGAGCCGCACCAGTAGCTGGGAGATGCTTTGGTCTCCTGTACATACTGTACAGTCAGTAGCTCCCTTCGCGGGCCTTGTAGCATTTAGCGCTAAAGGCGCAAAAGAAAAAGTCGCCATGTCGTCCTGTACTGTATTGTAGTGTTTGTATGTGTTTGTGTGTGTGTGTGTTTGTGTGTGTGTGTGTGTTTGTATGTGTTTGTTGAGTTGAGTTGAGTTGAGCTGAGTTGAGCTCCTGCTTGGACTTTGCGGAAGTCAGGCTAGGGGGGAGTCTTCGTGCTGGCAGGTGAAAAGCTTTGCCCAGCAAGGCGCTGCAGAAGGAGAGTTGGCAAAGCTTTCCCATCATGTTTGTTACTTTTCACTGCTAATTTAATTTTGTATACTTCCGCTATGTATTTCATGTCAATTCCAGACTGATTTGAGAATTTGAGAATGAGACAACGCAAAGAAGCCAGGTCAGACAACGATGACGATAACCAACAAGAAAGCCGCACTCAAGTGAAAGCCATCAAGGTTAAGACCAGACCCAGGCTAGACTTTTGACCGATACTGCATGATTACTATCCAACACTTCCCCGTGGTACGATGTTTAATGATTTTTTGACCCTTGGACTTGCGCATGAGACTCCAAGGACAGCTTGTTCATGGCCAATTGTTCAGCATCTCTGCCATGAAGCATGATTTGATGAGACTGAAACCCGATTGAGCGATCCAGATTGTATTGGTGCCCCTCGAGTCAGGTAGAATTCGCAAAAACAAACCTTTGGCTTTTTGAGAGGACTTCGTGTTTGTGACAATTTTGTACGCTCTTTTTGCAGCACTTTTTCACGGTTATAACGTTTGTGACCGGGGCTATCCCTACCAACCAATGCCAAAGGATATTCAAGCTCGACCGGGGTGTTGGACTCAGTTCTGTGGCAAAGAAAGACACGCGTCACATCGCGTCACGTTGCAAGCACACAAGATGTTGGGTAAAGCAAATTTCAAATGCACTTTAGGTTTAACTTTGGACACTTTGGACACTTTGGACACTTTGGACACTTTGGACACTTTGGACACTTTGGACACTTTGGACACTTTGGACACTTGGGTATGGTTGAAGTCTCCTCAGGAATCCGGCGAACTGGTTTCGGCCTCTCTTTTGAGCATGGATGCCTTATCCTTACAGGAAATCAACATTAAATCATATTAAATCACTAAATCACATATATAGTCGCATTAGTCACTATAGTCATTGTGTGTGTTTGTGGATTTTGTGGTATGTTTCAATGTGCTGCATTCACCTGGGCATCCAGGCAACATCCTGGTCATTCTTTCATGGTTCGTTGTTTTGCGATTTTTTGAAGCTGGGACAGCTGGGATTTGTGATTTTGTGCACAGTGCAGGGTTTGTGGAGTTCGTTTGAGAGTGTGAGGCCACATCTTCAGAGGTTCTGAAGCTGTAGGAAGAGGGCGAAAGCTTTCCAAAGTTTGCCAAGAGAGATGCACAAGGCAATGAATAGGCAATGATTCCAATGTAGGACCTTGTAGGAGGAGTCTCTTGACATTCGTCATATTCGTCGCTGTTTCACTCTCACGGAGGCACCAGCCTTCAAAGTAAACGTTCAGCGCTTCAGCGCTCGTGTCCGAGCCATCCGAGCCGCTCACAGTCCGAAAAAAACAAAAAATAACTTGTTGAAAATCATGGCAGAGGAATGCAAAGGAAACAGGAATAGAATAGAAAACATCTCAGAGTCATTTAAGATCATTCAAGCTTGTTCCAAGTTGATGTTTCTTTGCGAAGCTGGTGGTCCGACCAGTGTTCAAAGATCTTAAAGGTGTTGACGTAACAGGAGCATGGTACAAGTACGCCGTGTTCATGACAAGCAACAAGCAACCATTGGCCACCTATCAAGATTTCTGTGTTTGGGTTGAATCGAGATTGCTGAGAGGCGTTGTTGCGGCTTGTGTGTTTGCTTGACCGACTCTCTTTGTCAGACATACTCAGAAATTGTTTGTTTCGCCTGTGGTCCAATAAACTCAGAGATCCATGGTGGAAATTCTGCGTTTGGCTCCCCGATATGTGTAGACCAATGAGGGCATGGGATGAGGCGCTAGTGCTGAGATGTGCTGAGTTTTGTATTTTGGATGATTTAGGTTTCGGCAGTTTGGGTCTAGAGTCTCTAGAGATTGATCGCTTTGGTCAACGATGTCCCAACATTGAGACATGTTGAGTCTTACCTTGACCTGAGAAGGACGAGAATGATGGGCCTCCTGGCTTGGGAGAGCTAACCTGCCGCTGCAAGTTCCTCAAAATGCCGTCATCTCGCTTCCGTGTTTGAAAGATTGTGGATCAGTGATGAGTGATATTGTGATTGAGTTGATGTCTGGCAAATATTCTTGTGGTTGGATAGCCCTGACAGAAACACATCCAGCTATCGATCGGGTGGAAGCTATCAAGCTGATGCCTATTCACTACCCATTTATTTTTCATTATTTTTCCTATATGCAACTCATGATTATGCTTTAAGATAACAATGGGGCCTGTTAAACAACACATACAGAAGACTTGATGCTCGGAGAGCATTGACTGCCTTGCATTAGCCCACGAGTGTATTGGGAGCCGTTTGGTGTTCCCAGGTGGCGTTGTTTGCAGCCGTGCCGTCACAACCCAAGCAGCATGGCAGTAGAAGAGGCAATACCCTTTAAATATCTTTAAATCATTTCAATCTCCAAACTTGCAAGACTCGCAGCAGTTCCCAGTTCCCAGTCCTTGAAGTCTTAGGTCAAAGCAGCTATGCGGGAGGTGCTCGGGAGATCTTTGGAGTTTAGCTCTTCATGGCTGCGCTTTGCGTTTTCATATTTTTCATCCTCCAAAGCTTTCCCATGCCATGGCTGCCATGGTCCTCAAGGATGTTGCTGCACAGGCCGAAAGACTTGCAGACAAAGCTGAGAGAAATGAGTTGGCCATGCACCTCAGTGACCCTCAGGGAAGATTCAGCTGATCAACGACCTGTGATGGGAACCAGCATTGGTTGAGCACACTTTATGCACTTTGTCATTGTCCTGAGTCGCCACTTTTTGATACTTTTTGGAGTTCGGTCGAATTTGATGCAGGTCTCCATTGAAGATAGATACAGTCAGAGGGGTGTCAGATAGATGTCAGAGCATCAGAGCCATCGTTCGAAGTTAAGTAAACTATACCATACTCAAGCCGTAGATCGCTTGTCTGTCTGTCTCTTGCACTCAAGATGAAGATGTAGACTGCTTGACTTTTGGGGTTCGTTTCAAACTGAGGCGCACATATCAGAACGCCTTTTGGAAAACGCAGCAGTTCGGCACTTTCTCCTAACCTTTGAGGAGCAGGACTGCTGTTCATAGTACGTGAGCAGCATAATACCTTAATTACACATATCTCCCACATTCTCCCACCATTACACCATGTCGCACCCTTCTAATGGAGAACGCATTTGGTTTTGCGTGGTTCCGTGTTGGCTTTTGAATTGTTTTGGAATGGTGCTGGTCACAATTTGCATAGGCTCAACCCTACGATGTTCTCAATTTGTTGACAGGACTGGCCGGATCTTCTGCCTTGCATCGCGTCCATAGGGATTCAGGCCTGATTTTGGCGTTGGTTGAGTGATGACAGGTTTGGGTGGTAGGTCATGCTGTAGCGTTGCAGCATGTTGCAACAAATTGTAATAGTGTAGCAAGATCCCCCAACTACGGAAAGAACGAAAAACTACTTGTATTTCCTGCAAATAGTTCACGAATTATCAGTTCGGTTGTTCCGAGCTCTTCTCTCGCTCAGGCATTAACAATGCACTATGGTCGCGCAGCGCAATTGAACCTCGGGTCTCTTCGTACGCTCGTTTGATTCCAAGAGCTGTTCGATGGAGCGCCATCGCAAATGCAAAAGCGTTTTTGATGCAGAGCATTGGGGATAGGTTTAGACAATACATTCGCATACATCATAGTCTGGCGATATGCGGAATTGAGGCAAAGTGGATCGAGCGTTACAGGTGCCTCGTTCGTCCCCGTTGAGTGTTCCCTGCATCATTTGCATTTGTTTGAAAGGGTGAGGCATACACCGAAGACATGGCTAGTGGATGTCGTGCCAGAAATGTGCCAGACAGGCTAAACATGGCTAAACAAGTTGATCAAGATATATCAAGATTCAGATTGATCACATGTGGATGACATGTGGATCACATGTTGATCCCAATGACCCCCATCCCCCCACCTTCAAAATCCTTCAAGTCCTGACGCAGGGTTTGGCCCAGTAGTTTGGAGGTGATCTCGAGAGTCTTGGCTGAGAGCGGTTGATTTTTTTGCCATGAGTGGTCCAGTATGGTGCAGTACTACTTGTTACTTCTTACGGGTAGATAGATGGTGATGGATGCATATGGAGGTTGGTATTTAATGATAAATATGATAATTATAATATATAATATGTATTTACTGCATGTCATTTTAGATCATTGAAATCCTTAGCCAGAACTTCTCTAATTAGTCTTACCGAAAGCATTCGTTCACAGGTATCCGGAACAGGCGTGCTTTTGAGCATGTGCCGCTATTGAATCCGTCTGGTCTTTGCAATCATCATGATCCGACTTTCATTTGACAACTTGGATAGTGGAGAACTGTTTGCTTTGACCCTCCTCAAGTCAGACACCGCATCGTCAGCACGATTCAGCACGACGTGTTAATTCCAGCAGCCACCCTGGCAAAAAGAAATGCCAACCAATGCAGCTCGGAAAACCGTAGTAAGGAACTGGTTCGCAGGGCTCTTAGCTTCGATCCCTTCAGTGTTTCCTGCAGTTTATATCGGCTTACTCTACTGCACAGTGCATGTTTGCGTTAAATATGATGTTATTTCATGTTATTTTTATTCTATATTCTTATGTTTAGCAATGTGTGGCTTAAGGATCTGAAGGGAACCAAAACCACCGGTTCCAAGCATCGCGGACCGTTTTTTTGGTGCAATGTCCTTTGCACAGCACCTAGGCCAGAAAGCTCTCTTTGCTCATCTCACCTGCCGTGATGAGTGGGTGAAAAACACCCTGGAAGCCTTCGAGATGCAATGTGAGAAAGCTGCAGAGTGGGGCAAGTGTTGTGTGGAGATGACTGTGCAACCTTCAGTTTACATGGACGATGAGGCGGTGGAGCAGTTAGAGAAGCGGCTTGGTGAGTTTGGCTTCTCCAGTTATGCTACAAGGCATTCCAAAGCTGGCAATGTTGTCATTAGTGCAGCATGGATGCTGGGAACGGAGACAATCCAGAAGGCAGATGATGGCCCTCAGGGTATCAAAGCCAACTGCCCCGTGTGCCATGAAAATGGGTATGTGGTGGCTCTCATGCCTTGTGGCCATACGGTGTGCAAGCAGTGCCATCCTGGGCTTTGTCAGTGCCCCATGTGCCGCAAGAGTTTGACAGGCGCGACTCAGGCACTCTTCATGGGATGAGCAGCCATTCAAAGAAGCCTTTGACACAGAAGACTGCAGGGAAAACTTGGCAGATGCCCTTGGTACTTGACAATGTTTGTTTTGAGGCCGGGTGATTGCCTGGATTTGCCTGGCTCATCTTTTTAATAGATCATTGGTGTTCATTGCACCCGCCAGTCCACGGGGCAGTTTGGGATAGATTCTGATTAATTCTGATTATATATATATAAATAGAGAGATTGATCAGAAACAGGGACGTGCGTCCAATCCCAGGGCATTTCAAAAGGCTGTGATGTTCGATAGCCGTCCGCTTGACTGCCAAGCGGCTGTTGCAGCGCACCTTGCAAAATAAATGTTTGTGCGAGAGCAGCGCGCTCGCAGCGGTGTCGAGATGTGTAAATGCAGAGAGAAAAAGAGACGTTACAACTCACAAGACCTGTAGCATGCGAGTCAAAAGTGCACATGTCACATGGAAGTTTGAGAATGGTGGCATACAAGTCGGCGAAAAGTAGCTCTCACTTCTCCCCTATTAGGCCTGCGAGTGCGCGGAGGACCTGTTTCTTTCATGCAAATTGAATCAAATCAAATTGACACATGTTGTGACCCACCCAAAAGCTGTCCAAACTCGCAAATCACCAAATCGTATATCGTGATGCCAAACCTTCCCTTAGTTGTAATGATTATAGCTGCACTAGAACCTTACTGGTATGATCCTATCGCTTTCTGGCCTAGTCTTGGAACGGGATGCTTCTCCACTCATATTACATATGCTGGTCCACTTTAAACAGTTCTGCAGGAGACCCAGATCTCAGTCTACTGGCCGAGTTCTGGGCTCAAAGCTGACTTGAACCTGTGTTGAAAGTGGAGAAAACGACTTTGAGGGCATGTTTATATTGTTGACTTTCTTCTTTGGAACACAGCCGGTTTGTGCATCAAACATTGGTATCAAAGATGCTGCTTTCTTCTGAAATTACATAACATCATAACATCCCTAGATGTATAATGATGTGTATTTTGTTCCACATTTTCAAGGCACCAGCGCTGCCTGAAGGCGAGCTTCGTTGTAAGCGACCAGCAAACTATTGATAGAAGATGATAGAAGTAGTTTGTACCAGCTTCGTTGTACATGCAAGGACTTTTTTGTTGGTGATACTGTCAGTCATCCTGGTGAGATCGTCCAAACTCCTCAAAATTCGCATTATATAGAGACTAAGAGACGCCTCTCTTATCTCATTCCGTTTCTTGATCTTCCTTTTCATGACTTGTTTTGTGATGTTTTGTGGCTGTTTCAAGTTTGGCATCGCGTTCAGACCCGCAATATCCGGCAATCAACTCTTCCAACATCCCCCTTGCCTTGTCACTGAGCCTTGGAGGTTTCGATGCATTTGAAGCTGCACCAGTCAGGGAAGTGCCTCGGGAAGTGCCTCGTGAGGTGCTTTTGTGCAGGGCCATGCCATGCCGACTCAGAACTCCCCGGCAGACTGTGCAGAAAAGGTACTTGGATAATCTTGGATTGGCAGCAAAAGTCAGAAAAAGCTGGCAAGAGAATGCAAGAATGAAAAAGTAGACATAGAATTTAGGTTGATCCAAAGGGGCTCCAGGGATGGTTTCTATAGAGGGTGGACGGGGCATGACGTAAACATAAACTATGTCTAGGCGTAAGTAAAAACATATGTGAAACATAAACGAAACATATGTGAAACGTATATGAAACATATGTCAAACATAAGACAAAACATATGTGGAACGCAAACGAAACATAAATGGAATATAATTGAAACATAAGTGACACATAAAGCAAAACATGTGTGTGAAATTTGCAACATATGTGAAACATGAGTTGGCCGTCCCCCCTGTGTCAAGCAGTTGCCAATTTGAAATCCAAACCTGGTACAAACCTGCAGCCAATGTGAAACTGATGTCTCCCACATGTTTCACATATGTCTGACATACGTTTTGTTTGCGCAGCACTTGCGTCAGGCAAAAGTCTAAGATCTTATTCTGGGAAAATAAGATCTTAGGATTTTGACACATAAAAAAAAACAAGCGAAACACAAACAAAACATAAACAAAACACAAATGTAGCATAAACTTGTTTATGTTTTTTTGTGTTCAGTTTATGTTTTGGTTTATTTTTTGTTTATGTTTGATTTGTTTTTTGTGGATGATTTGCGTATGGCCTTATTTTTATGTTTTTTTGTGCTTTTTTATGCTTGTTTCCACAAAAAAGCACAAAAAAACATAAAAATAAGGCCTTACGCAAATAATTGACACAAAAAACACAAACAAAACATAAACCAAAACATAAACAGAACACAAAAAACATAAACAAGTTTAAGCTACATTTGTGTTTTGTTTATGTTTTGTTTGTGTTTCGCTTGTATTTTTTTAATGTCAAAATCCTAAGATCTTATTTTCCCAGAATAAGATCTTAGACTTTTGCCTGACGCAAGTGCTGCGCAAACAAAGCGTATGTCATAACACAAGTGAAACACAGAGCAAACATTGTGTCACATAATTCCGCTCACCTCCAGAGAAGATGGAAACACGTGCGCGACAGTTGGGACACATGACTGCCAGAATGGTTTGTGGATTCATTTGTGTTTTGTTGATGAGTCGTTTTATGTTTTATTGTGGATTCACTTGCGTTCTGTTTATGATGAGTTTCCGATGTGTTTATGATTCACTTGTGTTTGCTTTTATGTTGCGTTTACGTTGTTTTATGTTGGTTCTTTACGTCTTTGGTTTATGTAAGGCTCTTAGCCTCAGATCTTGTTCCTATAGACGAAGCCCTTTGGGTTTACCTAACATAGAATGCATAGATTGAATAGATCAGCAGGCGTCAATAGTCTCGGCCTTTCGTCTCTGATTTATTGCCATGCAGTGGGTGGGACATCAAAGCGGAAAGGTGCCTGGAACTCCACCGTCAAGCTGCGCCATGCTAAAGCCCGTTCGGGAGCCTAGGTGTTTCAGCCTAGGTGTTTCATGGTTTAGAGAGAGAGAGAGAGAGGGAGAGAGAGTGAGTGAGACGATTTTTCTGCGTCTGAGGCATTGGCTGGTATCAGAGCAAGGCCCAAATGCCGGACATAGAACTTCTATACTCTTCTTTTTGTATTTGGTGTCGCCTGGAGCGACTTCTGCCATGATGGAATGATGTTGGATGCGGCTCATGGAAAATCAATGAAAGTCATGAGAATCGCGATGCGTTCTGGAAGGGCTCAGATACGCGGACGCAGTCCTCCTCCGCAGAGTGCGCAATGGTCACCCAGGAGGGTCTTTGCTGCGTTGGCTTCTCATTCACAAATCATCTCATTTAGGCCCACTTGCGGCACGTTGTCGCAGCTCTCACGAGTTGGTGTCAAGTGTTGCATCATGAGTTTGACAAACAGGAGAGCAGAAAAAAATATCAATATCGTGAATCATGAATCATAATGCACACAACATTCCGAATGTTCCTCTTCCAGCCGTTGTGGCTGTGATTGATTGCTCTGTGAAGGAGCTCGCCCAGAGCATCTCCGGCTGCGTGCTGAGAACCCAACTGTACCGCGATTTTCATGGCTAGAAAGCTGATAAGATCAGAATATCATAGAGTCATAGAATATCGAATGGGCACCGTTCTTGGCGGATGCAGAAGCTGTGCTTTGATGTGGGCAAGGGATTGCATTGCAATTTCTATGGCAGAATAGTTTACATATGTTTACATATGTTTACATTATTGTACATGTTTGCTGCAAACAATCGAGCGTTCCTGCTGCACAACGCCCGTTTGTCATTGCTCAGTGCTGAAGGCGGGTGCAACGCTGCCCTGGCCATCGAGACGGGATGAGGTGACAATTCCTGCAACGTTGACATTCTTGTCGCAATCCTGAAGAATTCTGAAGGGAAAGGTAAGATAGGTAAGTTTGACTGGTTGAAAACATTCAGATCTCCTCAGCAACCTTACAAAACGACGGGAGAGTTGATCCACAGGGAATAAATGCGCAAAGTCTTGCGACTGCCAAGCGGTTTTTTCACCTTGGGCTTGACATGGATTGACTAGGCAGGTGGTCAAAATGCCCACTGCTTTCACTGTGAAACGGTAGTGAGCTCAGAAGCGTTCCACTGTCTCATTTGGAAGCACGAACGCTTTCAGACACTGCATATTTGGTGCTTCATGCAAAGCGGGGGGTGCTAAAAATTATCTAAAAATAGTAGGAGAGTTTTTCTGTGCGCCGCCATGCCGAGGGGCAAAAATGCTATTCAAAGATATTCAAACGTGACATGGTGAAGACTTCGGAGAAGCTGGAAGAGTGGAAGAGTCTGAAAGAGTACAAAAGTCTCATGCAGTGACAAGTCCCTGTCGAGGCGCATTTGCCGGACTCGCAGTTCTGCCGTATTTGTGGTCATCATAGAGACGTTCTGACCTCACCGACCACAAATATCCTCAACGTTGTCAGTGTTTTGCATGTCTCATGCCTTTTGCATCCTTTTGCATCCATGGTCGAATTCAAATATATGTTATATTAATATTAGTATATATTAGTTATATGTTTATTTTAATATATATATATATATAATATATATATACATATGTATAATTTCTATCATATATATATATATTGATATTGATATTGATATTGAGATTGGAAGATTTCAGCAAGGCACAAATTCCGGCAGCAGCATCACCGATCGCGCCTCCGTTCGCACCTGAATTGCACAGTGCCAGGTGTTCTTTTCATAGCAATGAATTCATGTGATATGATTGATATTATGGTTGTCAGACTTTCTGGGCCTTTTCCCGCATGGAACACTTGGAGCTCAGGTGGGACGCAATGCGGGAGACACAGAATTTCCCTGCTCGTGAGCCCGCAGCCTGCGCAGCCTACGTACCAAGCGCAGGCTTCAACCTTTCTGGAGCCTGTGGAGCTGCGGAAATTGGCCTGGGATTGCCATTGCCGGCAGCACAGCCACCAGCACAACCACAGCCAGTGCAGCCAGCGCAGCCAGCGCAGCCACCCACTTCACTCTCCATGTCCATGCAGGCCACCCAGCCAGCTGTGGTACCTGCTGTACCCCTTGCACCACCCATCATCCAATCTCCCATCACACCACCCACACCGCCAAATGTGTCCTTTGGACAAGAAGCAGTTCCACACGTTCCACCAACGCTTCCATCAGTAACACCATTGCAACAAGTTGTGCCACAGGTTGTGCCACCAGCATCACCTCCGCATCCCAAAAACCCGACCCCGCCATTGATGCTGCCGCAGCCAGTGATTCCAAGCGTTCCCAGCAATCCGCCCTCAGCACGCTGGGAGCCGAGCCCTCGGGCTGTGCCACTGGATGCACCAAGATGGCGTTCCAGGGAGGCAGAGCTGGGATTGAAATGGAGCCACTCCAGATGTTTACGGCCTTTACTGTAAACATGGGTTACCTGACAACGGTAAACATATGTAAACATGCATGCAAGCATTTAATGTGATTCAGATATTTCAATTGCACAGAGTTGGATTATAGTTTATTCTACCGCCGCCCGTAGCGAACTCGGTGTTTTTTTTTTTTAAATATGTTCATTACCTTCATCTGCATCCAAACATGGCTTCTTTGCATGATCACACATGCCACACATACCTTCGGGTGGGGGGGGATGTTGACGTCTTTGTGCACTTGCTCACATGTTTGATGCTATGCTCCACACGTCTTCTTGACGTGCGACACATATCTTCGGGTGGGGGGATGTTAACGTCTTTGTGCACTTGCTCACATGTTCGATGCTACGCTCCACACGTCTTCTTGACGTCATCACACATACCTTCGGGCGGGGGGTGTTAACATCTTTCATGCTAGGCTCCGCATGTCTTCTTGACATGATTGTACATGCCGCTAACATCTTTCATGCTACGCTCCACATGCCTTCTTTACATGATTGTACATAGTTGGACAAATGTTGGGATTACTCTAAAGAGTTCACCCTAAAAAGTGCCCACACAAAGAATGCAAAGAACAAACTTTTGAATGCTGAGATATGGAACTATGTCTACCAATGGCAATGGCGATACAATCATCGCCATTTCTTGTGGCAACTGGTGCCCAAGGTTCTGAAAGAACTTTGCGTGTGAGATGTTGCACCTGCGAAAGAGAAAGGTAAAAAGAACCGAGTTCGCTACCGCTACGGGCGGCGGTACCTAGTTTATCTCTGGCTGAATGGGTCCAGCATCAACGTGATAGAGTTACCTTGCTGTAATTTGACAGTGATTTAATTTGATTGGTGAAGTATGTAGGCAAGGCGTCATCAGAAACTTTTTAATATAATTCCCATTTGGGAAAGTTTGGATTTGTTCAGAACAAGTCAGGGTGAACCATCCGCCGTTCCAAGACCAGTTCCTTACGCTTTTGCGTTTGCTATCAGGGTGCAACGAGCAGTCGGAACGAAAGAGCACCAGTGCAGGACTGTCTTCACAGGTGCCCCCTAAAAGTGTGAGACATGGAACTCCAAGTGGGAGTTTTGGTCACCCCGCATTGTCGGCATGGTAGTTTAGAAGAATAAGATGCTGTGATGCAGCACGTACTATAGGAATACGTAGGCAGCACGACACTGGTATCATGAATGAACAATGGACCTGCAAAGATTGGAACAGCTCTTAAACCCATTTGGCGCAGGATGAATGGTACCAAACCTTGATGTGCGATCCTCAACCCTCAAATTGGACCTGTGACTAACGGCTGAACATTGGTGGCCCCAGGTCGCGACTCCGGCGTTTGGGAGATCAGGCGCGCTGCAGTGGCTTTGGGGTCTGAAGCATTGTCCCTCAGGTAGACCATTTTTGTATATTTGCGAATGAAGTATCTTTCATTTGTGCGGGAAACTGGGCCAGGTTGAAAGTTTTGTCCAGGTTCCCAGTCTTGGATTCAAAAGAGAGTTAGATTGGCAAAATTTGCAGGTGTCCAGCCCGAGGGAAAGACCGGCTGGCGTACCAGGCAAGTTGTACTGGATATTATTGCATATGTATTTGTTGTTTGGTGACAAGCGGCTCGGCTCTAAAGGGCTGAATCCTCAAAGTGTCAGTTTTCTTGCTTGTGGTTGGATGCAGGGCGCGTATGATACATGTATTTCACATTTTCCCACTGGATCCGCTTCAGGTGACGTGTGGTTGTTTCCATGATAGACTTGACCAAAAACGCATGGAAGGTGAGCCCGTGACTGGCTATGGCCAGAATTTGCGTCCACCCATGAGGCACCTGGATCAGAAACAACTTGGGGAATTGCGCTTCAAGACTTGGTTTTTCCCCACCTGCCAGGTGAGGGTTGTTAGATTTTATGTCAGTTGCCTGCTCCTCCTCTCCTCCTCCTCCTCCTCATCTCCTCCTCCTCTCCTCCTCCTCCTCGTCGTCCTCCTCCTCGTCGTCCTCCTCGTCGTCCTCCTCGTCCTCCTCGTCCAACTGCGACCCGCGATCCACAGTGTTCTCTGTCGGACCTCAACCACGACCATCCATGCTCAGTGTTCCCTGCCGGACCTCAACCACGACCATCCACGCCAGGGTGCCCTGCCGGACCTCAACCAGGACCATCCACGCCCAGGGTTCCCTGCCGGACCTCAATCACGACCATCCCCGCCCAGTGTTCCCTGCCGGACCTCAACCACGACCCCAAACCTTTCCCCGTGTCTGTAACTCGTGCTCTCGGGGCCAGAAGATATGCCAGAAGATATGCCAGATAGAATGCCAGAAGGTATGCCAAATAAAATATCAGATAGAATGCCAGAAAATATGCCAAATAAAGTGCAAGAATGTTTACCAAATAGAATGCCAGAAAATTTACCAGATAAAATGCCGGACGATATGCCAGAACATATGCCAGAAAATATACCAGATAGAATGCCAGAAGGTATGCCAAATAGAATGCCAGAAGGTATACCAAATAAACTACAAGAATGTTTTCCAGATAGAATGCCAGAAGATTTACCAGATAGAATGCCAGATAGGATATCAGAAAATATATCAATAGATATGTCAGAACATATGCCAGGTAGAATGCCAGAAGATATGCCAGATAAAATGTCAGATCGAATGTCATAAGATATGTCAGATAGAATAATAGAAAATTTGCCAGTAACAAATCGATAAATATCATGGTAAGGATCAAACGAAGTAAAGTAATTTTTCTTTT